AACTGGGATCAGACTAATAATGATTGAAGCCACTGGATGTTATTTTGCCCTAATTTGATTTCTTTTTCTTCTCCTTCTATAAATTGACAATGTTATGTATTATTTTGCTTGTATACAATGACAGGCGGTGACATATTGCAGTAGGCAATTTAAATTAAAATTAATTCGCATAAGAGGTGATGGCAGGACATACAAAGGCAATAATCAGTAGTTGTTCCTAATGGAAAACCAAGTAAGAAATAGCAATTTAGCAATTTCTCTGAGGCCAAGGAAGGAGAATCTTTCTTTCTGCTTCTGCTTTCTTAACAGGCACTCCAGGGTAACCTTTGGGGGGGGGGTCACATCCCTGGGAGACGGTTCTGAGGCCAGCAGTGGCAGAGGAGCAAGAGACATCTGAGGAAACCACGCTTTTTCCTTTGTTTCCTCAGACTTCTGTCTCTTTTTCTAAGACCTCTCCCCCCTCTCCTTCCCACACTTCCTCCAAGTCCGATGATCTGCTTCCTCAAAAGACAGATGTCACTCACCCATGTCTTAAGGTCAAAGTACAGTGGTGCCCCGCATAGTGAGCACCCCGTTTAATGCAAGTGCCCCGTTTAATGACGAATCCGCATAGCAATGCGGATTTTGCGATCGCAAAAGCGATCGCATTGCGACGTTCTCAATGGCCAAAAATCGCATTGTGATCTTTGCATTGTGATGTTTTAAAAACAGCTGATCAGGGGTTCCAAAATGGCTGCCAGAATAAAAAATGGCCACCCGCAGTGTTTTCGCGCAGTTTCCCTTGCATACCGGGTGGCGAAAATGGCAGCCGTATGAAGGATTGCCACATAGCGGTGAGTTTATCCCCCATAGGAATGCATTAATTTTAATTTAATGCGTTCTTATGGGGTTTTTAGTCCCGCATAGTGACGAATCCGGATAGCGATGATTTTTTCAGAACGGATTATCGTCACTGTGCGGGGCACCACTGTACATGAAAACTTTGTATTGTCACTGTGCGGGGCACCACTGTACATGAAATGCTCACTTTGTATTTTGAAGCTGGCAGCATTTAAACTATTGGAGATGCATTTCTCCCTGAGTTGCACACCTGGGGGGAAATTTATCTCCCAATGAGCAATCATAAAATGAAGGCAGTTAATTTGAGGGGATGAGAAAAGCTCACACCAGGATGAACAGACTCCATTTGACACTTAAGAGAGGTATGCTTTTAAATGCAGAGCTGAACATCCAACTGAGCTTGACCCTGAACACTGACATCTTCACAAGGGGTTTGATGTTTGGTCAAGGGAGCACACAGTGCACACTCCAGTCTCAGACAATTCCTCTTGGCCAACTGGAGTCACTCACCTTCTCCCCTTTCAGAAACGTGAGACGGGACTCCTCAGCATTCTTCCTTTCCTCAAAGTCCTCCATGACTCTGGCTGTCTGACTCTGAGTAGAACATCTGACAGAGGACTCATAGCTCAAGTCTCCAGTACGGATGATCGGAACATGCAGGATCCCATCTGTCTCTTTCACTGGGTATAACTCTTTGCTAAATTTCATATTTGGCACTGTACAAGTCAGAACAACAAGGGGAAGAAACACAGGTTCTGCAAAACTGTGGGCAGCAGCACAATTAGATGGAAGCAGTTTGGATTTAATGTTTCCAGAAACAGAAACAGCCCCCCCCTTTTTGCTCTTTCTGTTCTTTTAAGAGGGACTCTAAGTAGAACCTAAAACCACCACATGATAGAACACAGTGACTCATGGGCAAAAAGTTATTTATAAATAGTATAAAGGAGCAAATGCCCCGCAACCCCATGGATCAGGGATGGTCTTAACACATGTCTCAAGTGATATATACTGGGGGTAGAAGTGGTACCCCCATAACTCTATCTCCTGAGATCAATGACCATTTCTCCATGACCTCCATCTACTCTAAACAAGCCTCTTGCTCTTACACAGGGGTGCTGGAGGATGCCATGATGCTGCCTATGTTCAAGTGAGAGCTGACCCATACTGACTAGTCCAGCTGGCTTCATTAAGAAATGCTATCCCTCTGCCTCAACCAACAAAGGACTATCAACCCTTAGCCTCCAAAAAAACTGGGCTACAGATGGACACCTGCTTCTTGGGAGGAAAGTGATGACAAGCCTAGACAGCATCTTAAAAAGCAAAGACATCACCTTGCCGAAGAAGATCCACATAATTAAAGCTATGGTTTTTCCAGGAGCAATGTATGGAAGTGAGAACTGGTCCATAAAGAAGGTTGACCACCGAAGAATTTGTGCTTTTGAATTGTGGTGCTGGAGGAGAGTCTTGAGAGTCCCCTGGACTGCAAGGAGAACAAACCTATCTGTTCTGAAGGAAATCAACCCTGAGTGCTTACTGGAAGGACAGATCCTGAAGCTGAGGCTCCAATACTTTGGCCATCTGATGAGAAGAGAAGACTCCCTGGAAAAGACCCTGATGTTGGGAAAGTGTGAAGGCAAGAGGAGAAGGGGACGACAGAGGACGAGATGGCTGGACAGTGTCCTCGAAGAGACCAACATGAATTTGACCCAACTCTGGGAGGCAGTGGAAGACAGGAGGGCCTGGCATGCTCTGGTCCATGGGGTCACGAAGAGTTGGACACGACTTAACGACTAAACAACAATAACACAGATGGATTCCCAACTACCTTTACTAAGGGATTCACAGATCCACTTACCATCTTGGAACGTGTCATTAATGGCAACCGTGGCTTGAAAAGGCTTGGCCAGCTCAGCTCCTTGAGGTGAGCTCAAGTACACCACAAACGTCTCCACTCCTTCAATCACCGGGTACTGAGCATCATCCAGGATCGTCAAGGTGCAGTACTAACAATGTCAAAAGACAGACAGAAAGAAAAAAAGCCTACCTTCTTAAATATATTTATTTATTATTGATTGATTGATGTGGCACCATTCTCAATATGCCTCAATAATCAATAATGATTATTTCAATATTTAAAGAGTGTTAAACTCACAAATAAGAGCAGTATTCAAAACACAGAATAAAATAATCCCTTTAAAGAATTCCTTTGGTCAACCAGTCATTCAAAGGAAAGCTTGCCTGCAAAGGGTCTTTGCCCAATTGGGGAAAGAGCAAAGATGGGGCCAGCCTGGGCTTCCAGTGGCAGGGAGTTCCAGAGTCTAAAGGAGCAGCCACAGAGAAGGCCCTCTCCTGTGTCCCTACCAAATGTGCCTGTGAAAGTGTGGGGCCAAGAGAAAGGCCTCTCCTGAAGTTATTAATATAAAAACCAAACAATTATGTGTGCATATATACATTTAATGTGAAGATACTCAGTTGATGTGAGAGAGACATCAGCCCTTGAGGTCCTTTTGAAGTCTATCAACGTTAATCATTTTTCTTTGCACAAATGGATGAAGGAACAGCTAAACAAAATGGAAATGGTCTAGGCAACGGCTACCTCTGCTTTTGCTAGCTGGGCCCCATTTTCCCCTCTGAATTATAATGAAAGGAATTATAAATATAATGAAGGCAACAGGAAAAGAAGAAGACCCAATGTGATATGGATAGACTTCCTAAAGGAAGCATCTTAGAGTTTACAAGAGCTAAGCAGAGTTGTTGAGGATTTTGGGGAGTGCTCATTCATAGGGTTGCTATAAGGCAGAGGCAACCGGACAACACCTAACAGCAGCAGTGACAGGAATCAATGCTGAGCCCCTAAACCTTTATTTCAGCAAGAATTTGGGGGAACTAAAATGAACCCACAAGGAAATGACATTTGGGGAATGTAGATCAAACTCACTGTCACCTTCCAGAACCCCCTGCCTCTCACTAGCTACTAGTCATCATTTCCCCAACTTGTTGGTGATGATGAATGCCACAGTCCAAAATACATGAAGGGTCACAGATTGTGGAAGGCTGTTGGACTCCATAGCTTGACCTCCCAAACAGGAATCCCTCCCTCTACATGAGCAAGAAAAGTAGCCATACCTCTTCAGTTCTCCCTGGGCGAAATTCCACTTTCTTAGAGCTGGGTATATAATCAACCCCTGGCGTAGCAGATGGCGGATCAGATGTCCGAGTGGCACACCACACAGAGGTAGGCGTTGAGAGATCAGGACCGTGCCGATGAACTGGGATTTCAATAATTCCTGCAATGAGGAATGGACAGACGGGGTAAAAATCCTTAAAAATAAAATTTAAAGTCAAATGGGAGGTGAGGAGAGAAATGACCATCATTAGTACCTCTTTAAGAAACCACAGGAAGATTTTCAGCGGCTACCATGATTTGTCTCTAACAAAAAGCTATTATAAACTTAACATGCTCTCGGCATCTCTGTAAGGAAATGATGCCATGCCTTAGACTGGACTGCATTGTGATCCAGGTGAACCCCCAAATTCTTGCCTCAATTTGCTTTTTCTTGCAAAAGAAAAGAAAAGAAAAAAGAATGAACCACTGCTCCTGGTTGCCTCCAAAAATAGCAAATTACTTTTTAAATAAACGGGTCACAGAGGCACACTATCTACAGAGGAAAAGCAGTGTAAGATGTGGGAAATCTCTGAAGCGGCAACCTTTATTGAATTTTCTTATTATGGGAAGTAAGAAGAAAAAAACAGCATGGTTATTATTTGAGCAGCTTGTTAGGGGGAAAAAATCTCTCTGGCTCCATTTCACTGCATTTCTTCAAATGCCACCAGCAGTCTCCATTCCTTTCAGATCAAGACATTATTTTTTTCCCTTCCCATATGGAAACGTGTACACATTTCCAATAATTTGCATGCATTCGTGCATTTTGAATACATTTCCTCACTGACTGAAGCTTGGCGAATACTTTTCAGTCATATTCCCTTTTACCTATTAATCTAGTTACATCACGTTGATACCTTTGTTAGCCTACTTTCTTAAAAAAAGTCTTTAAAAATGTTAAAAACTAAGATCTGAAAAAATGAATGTTTGGACTTTATTTCTGCAACAGCGGAGGATCTAAATTCCCCCTCGGTTCTTGGTTTTCAATCAGAAAGATTGAGTCTGTTTCTTCCCACAATTTAACATTCAGCAGTAGGTCACCTGAGAGATCCATATTTGAATACCTCCTGTTTTATATCCCTTCATCACACATCAGACAGAATGAGGACAGGAAGACTTTAAAGGTATGGTCTGGTTTTCCATTTTTGCCCGTTCCTTAACTCTATCCCTCTTCCCCCCACTTTCAAAATACTTAATACGCTGTCTTGTGCCTGTTGGATGGATTTTATGTGCCAACCTAGCCGTTTGAAAGCATGTAAAATGCGAGTAAATAAATAGGTACCACCACGGTGGGAAGGTAACAGCGTTCGGTGTCTAGTCGCGCTGGCCACGCGACCATGGAAACTGTCTATGGACAAACGCTGGCTCTACGGCTTGGAAATGGGGATGAGCACCAACCGCTAGAGTTGGACAAGACTGGACAATTGTCAAGGGGAACCTTTACCTTTACTAATAAAGAGTGTGACCACATGGATTGCAATTTGAACCACTTTCCCAGCAATTCCACAATGTACAGGAAAATGTGCTCCAGCCCAATCCCATTGTATGCCCGGTAGAATTCTATACCGACTTTCGGTACAAATGATAGAACATCTCCTTATGGGGGCTGGGCTAGATTGATTTCCCAGCAGACGGGAAAGTCACTTTAAAGGAGACTGCGCCCGTTAAAGCGACCCTTTTCCAGTGCAATCAGGCACAACATGCTTTTGCAGCATCTGATCACGCCCAAAGAGACCATCCTGATATAGCATTTGAACCCTGGATGTTGTTAAGGGTCAGCACAGCTCCCTCTGCCTTCTACACTATACCCTTTCACAGAAACAAAGTATACCACACACTCGAATGGGTATGGGGCTTTTGCCTCATGACAACTTTCTGGCACTAATGTTGCTGAGGGTCAAGAAGCCTCCAAAATTCTTACCTGCATCCTCACTGACAGTAAAAGTAGCCATTCCGAGGGACACGGTTGAGGCATCGTTTGGCCCACTGATCATAACCTTGGCAGAGGCAATGCTCCCAATGCGTGCATTCTCCGAGGTGTCGGTGAGCGCAATCTCAAATTCTTCCTCTTCTTCGTATTCGCTGTCATCAATCAGCTGGACGTCACAGGTGGTCATTGTGACGCCGGGCCCCAGCACGACACGATTCTCACTGGACATCCCTCTGGACTTAAAGTCCGAACCAGATTCAAGGGTGTGGGCACTGCTGCCTTTTGCAGTTTTGGGCACCGTGTAGCAAATGGCAGATACGATGCTGCTAGTATCTCCTGTAAGGGAACACATAGCAGAGAGATACAAAGCTTTCCTTCCCAGAATAAGCATTATGCTCATTGCAAAAATCCCTCTCGCACAGGGCTTCCCAACCTTGAATTCCCCAGATGTTCTTGGGACTATAATTCTCAGAAATCCTGGCTAACACACCTAGCGGTGAAGGCTTTGGGGAGTTTTACTCCAAGAACATCTGGGGACCCAAGGTTGGAGACCACTGTTTTAGCAGCCATTCTCTCCCCAGGGAGCCCTGGAAAATAGGAAGGAGGGCGCAGACTGGAAACAATTCTCCACACAACCACCTTATATGGTTCCTTCTGCAACTTCTACCATCCTGATTCAGCCTATATTTCTTTCATATTGTCCTTATGACTGGGGGGGGGGAGTTGATAATGGCTGATCCAGAGCATATCCATACTACACTATTGGATCTATCTCATTCCACTTCAACCACCACGGCTGCACCCACCAGAACCCTGGGATTTGAAGGTACTGATTTATTTGTAATAGTTCAGGGATGCGCACTGGCATTCTCCAAAAAGGATTCCAAATAACAGAATTCTCATGGGTGGAAATTCTGCCGGCCAGATAGATACCGCATTTTTCGCACTATAAGACACACTTTTTCCCACAAAACAGGGGGATGGAAAGTCTGTGCGTCTTATGGAGCGAAGAAAACTGATTATTTTTCCTGTTTTCTTCTCCTAAAAATTTGGTGCATCTTATGGAGAGTTGCGTCTTATGGAGCGAAAAATACGGTACCTAAATTGTGCGCACCTGGAGAAAGTCTGGGCTAGAAGGCCTCCCAGGTAAGGATGTGCCTCCCTTGAGCCTAGCTTCATTTTCAAACAGCAAACTAGGCACAAACTGGTCCGAAGCCCAACCTTCCTCCAATCCAAATTGATCGCTCTGGCTCAATAAGATTGCCATGGGGGACAAAAGCAAACCGCTGGCTTCTACTTCCTTCGTCAGCTGCAAGGTAAACCCACCTTTCCTTTCAATGGGGGCAGAGAGAACGCCGTCACTCTCGCTGACGTGATAGACTTTCTTGTCAAACTGCAGGGTTGGCTCGTCTTCCTCGTCACGGATGAAGACTTTGGCTATGGCGATGCTCCCCAACAAAGCATAGGCAGGCATGCTCAGTTCCACGGTGAAACTCTCAGTGTTCTCAAAAATGTTGTCATCATTTATGACAATGGTGCAGAATTTAGTGTCCTCCCATTCATCAAACTGGACCTGTGAGATAGTGGGAAAGAGGCCCTGGTGAGACTCTGGATTCCCAACAGGGGTTTGGCCCTGAGCTTCTAATAAGCCTTGAGATCAGACACTAGTCCCAAAGCAGGTCTTCAGATCTGGACATTAAGACAGAAAGGATCTCAGAATGGAGAACTCCCCTTGGCTGATCCAATCCTGACCCCGAGCAAAGAAAGCTACAAACTGAGCTGTCAGCCTTCATTCACAGATTCTGAGATCCTCTGTTGCATGATAGGAAGAGGGCCCTCACCTGGTTTGGTAACACAGCTATCCAACTGCTATTCCCTTAGAAGCAAGTGTGGTTTGGCAGTTAGAAAAATGAAGTGGGTGGGACATAGTAGGAGCACGTTCTTGTCCTCACTGAGCTAAGAAATTGGCCAGTCTCTCTCTGAACCTGATGAACCTCACAGGGGTATTGTGAGGACAAAGTGAGGAAAGAAAGAGAGTCACATATGGTTGTTGTGGTTTTTTTGGGCTCTTTGGCTGTGTTCTGAAGGTTGTTCTTCCTAACATTTCGCCAGTTTCTGTGGCCGGCATCTTCAGAGGACAGCACTCTGTACTCTGGTGCAATTTGTTAGGGAGTTGAGTATATATAGATGTAAGATCAGCTTTTGTCCTTTTCAGGAGATGGGTGATTATGGTGATCAGTGTGTTTTTGTTGTGGGTGTAGTGTTGTGATAAGGAGGAGAGATTATCTGGGACTATGATTGATGGGTGTCGTTAGCTGGTCTTTTGTATGTAGTGATTACCAGTCCTTGTGGCTGGGTAGAGGTCGTTGACTTTTTGCACGCTGTATTTTTCACTGCCGGGAGCCACGTTTTGTTGAGTTTCAAACTTTCCTCTTTTTTGTTGATGTTCTGCTGAACGTTTAGTGAAACATTAGGAAGAACAACCTTCAGAACACGTCCAAAGAGCCCGAAAAATCCACAACCACCATTAGATCCCGGCCGTGAAAGCCTTTGCAAATACAGAGTCACATATGGTGCTTTCCGCTTTTGGGAAGAAAGGGGAGATATAAATGGAACCGGTCATTAGCCTAATACAATGCATTTCTGGAGGTATTATTTCTTGCACCCACCTGGCCCGCATACTCCACATAGTCCTGTTCTCCTGGCCGCAGACTTGAGCTGGATGTGGCCGTTCCCTGCTCAGTACGACAGAGAACAATAGCATATTGTTTGAGATTACCCGTTCTCTTCACTGTGACACTGATGGAGCCAGCCTTTTCACTAACGTTGTAGCTGGAAATAGGGAATAAAAGAAAGAGGACTAGACCTTTTGCCTTGGAAAAGTGCAGTCCAGATAGAGAAGAATTGCTTTTTCAAAATTATGGCTTCTGGAATTCATGTGGGTTAGGAGTATTTGGGGCGTATGAGTCCCCAAAAAAGTAACTCTCTGCAAGCCTGCACAGTTTGCAAAGGCTTCTCCCTTAACTGGGAATAAATGTTCCAATAACTTGGAGGGTGGGTTACATATGTTTGTTCTCAACTTTTCCCAGGATTAGCAAATTTAGACTCTGAGCTCCACTTTATCAGTTTAATCAACTTCAGCGTTATCGGCCTCCCTCTCCTTTCCTCCAGAATCGGTGATTTGCCTGCATTAACGGTCGTTCAATTTAATGGGATTTGTTTAATTCAATTCCAGGAAAAATGAAAAGAAGAACAGTGAGTAGATAAAATTCAGCTTGCCAAACCAACGATAGTCCTTGCAATGCCACAGGATGTGAGTTACATTATATAAGTCTAGATGCCGATTTATATTTGTCAGAGAAGAGTTGGTAGTTTCAGAGTTAGTTTAGTCCAGTTGTGTCCGACTCTAGGGCGTGGTGCTTATCCCCGTTTCCAAGCCGTAGAGCCAGCGTTTGTCCATAGACAGTTTCTGTGGTCACGTGGCCAGCGCGACTAGACATGGAACGCCATTACCTTCCCACCGTGGTGGTGCCTATTTGTCTACTCGCCTTTTTACATGCTTTCGAACGGCTAGGTTGGCAGGAATTTTTGGGGAAACACGGTAGTAAATTTTATGCGCTGGAACAATCACACATAAATACACTGGCTGAAACTGCAGGCAGGTCAGTGTGCAAAACTCAACACACCACAGTTCTTCAGCCCTCATAGCCTGTGTTTAATTTCTGTGTTTTCGTTTTCCTTACCCTGTTCTTTCCCCGGCACCCTAAAGCCCCTGTCCTCTTCTCCTGTCACATGCTGCTTCTTTAAACCCATGCTCCTAAGGACATGCCCCGTGACCTACTCATTCCTATGCCTTTGAATCAATCTGCATCTTGGCTCTTTTTGGGCACACCCCCACAGCTTCATCCAGCTACCCTTCTTCTCAAACATTCATGCCAACAGCACACACACACACCCTTCTATCTCGGAGTGCTGCCCAGGTTTTTCTCCAGTTGCTCTGCCATAGTGTGCCTTTGCTTTTCAACGCCATCACGTCTTCCTTTCTCTCCCACCTACACTGGGGTTACAACTCCACCCATTTTGTCTTGTGTCTCATAGTAGGTAGACCCCTTGTTCAACATGTCCATGCCTCATGGAATCATTAAACAATTGAGTTGGACGGAGGCTATAAGGCCATTGAGTCCAACCCCCGGCTGAAGGCAGGAATTCAAGTCAAAGCAGATCTGACAGAGGGTGGTCCAATTGTCTCTTAGCATTGGAGTGCTCACCACCTGCTGGGGTCATTTGGTCCATTCTCCTACTGCTCTAGCAGTTAAGAAGTGTTTTCTGATATTCAGGCTAAATCTGACATTCTGTAGTTGGAGCCAATTATTATGCGTCCTGCACTCTAGGACGATCAAGAATAGATTCTACCTAGAGATGTAAGTTTCTGAAAATTTCTATTTTTTTCCTAATCCTGACCCTCCTCTGTATGACTACCTTTCAAGTAATTGAAAAATGCTGTTGCACCTCCCCTCAGTCCTCTTTTCTCAAGGCTAAACATGCCCAGTTTTTCAGTCGTTCCTCACAGTTTGGTTTGCAGCCCCCTCATCATCCTTGTTCATCCTCCTAGATCTTCTTATCTTTCAGTTTCTGAGTCACATGTCTTTCTAACACCCTAGCCTCTGACCTTTGTTTCTGATAAGCACAAAGCACGTTCTTTTGCTCCTATTCCAGATGGCTTTTCAGTTGGCTTATATGTATTTGAAATTTACAAGGGACTTTTAAAAATTTATTTGATGTCCTGGCAATGCAAGGCATTTATCTCCAGTCTTCTGGACGATAGGAGGAATAACAGCCAGAAAGGAGCAAAGACTTCCCTTTTTTAAATAATTCCTGAAACAGCTTTCAAACAGATTTTAAAACAGTCTTTAAAAATCCCCAACAATCTGGCCTCAGAGTGTTTGTGAACATTCCATAGCGTCACGACAGCAAAAGTCCAGACAACGACAGAAAAATGTCACAGATCACGGGGAGTTGTCACCTTTAGCATGCTGATTAGTAATAGAATTGTGTGCCATCAAGTTGATTCCAACTTATGGTACCCTTTCTAAGGTTTTCTAGATAGAGGGTACACAGAAGTGATTTACTATCCCATTTTTCTGAGGGTGCCTTGGGACTGTGCAGCTTGCCCGAGACTATACAGGCTGGCTCTTCTCCCAGAAAAGCACAGTGGGGGGATCAGACTCCCAAACTCTGTATCTAACTCACTGAGCTACCCAGTTAGCTTTAAGATGCTGAAGTGCAATATAATTAATGTATGTTGCTCTGGCGGAAAGCCAGTGTTGAGTCAGGCTGCTTACCTGGTGTGCTGAAAGCTGATGACAGACCACTGGATATGGAACGTATTGTTAGTGACCATACTGGGTTTGCTGTCCTTTACCAGAAACTGAAAACTATCTTCTGTTTCTTGAGTTCTCTCCTCATGCAAAACATACTGGATTAATCCCAAATTGACGTCCTCTGTTAGGAAGAGACTATTCAGTAAAATCATCCAAGAATGAAGTAAAAAAATATTGCATATCTATAAATATGGATTCCCTACTGAACTAGTTTCTGGACATGGCTTGCAAGTAAAGCAAAATCTTAGAACAGGAATCAGCAACTGTAGAACTAGACATCAATTTTCCTCCCCTTCGATCCATGAGGCTGCATCCTCACTGCCAAAATCAGAAACAGTCGCAGATTCTCAACTCCTTTCCTCATTGCTGCCTATTAAAAAAAATTAAGGTGCATGGGGTTGTGCACCTTGATGTAAAGGAGAATCATGCTTCCCAGAGTGTGTGCCTTTGCATTTCTAACAACAAAATATTCTGAAGTGAGGAAGGCTTCAGGGTCTGCAAAAACAGATAGCAGGTCTACATGGAGTTCACAGATTGATGATGATCAGTAGGTTAGAAAAATCCAAGAAAAAATACACAACCCAACCAAAGATGTTTGGTGTTTTCTTCTGTTATGCCAGAATGACAAAGGACACAAATGCAGTCACCCAAAGAAAACAGGACGGCTATCTAGCTCTTCACACAGAACATAATGAAAATTTTGGGATTTGTTTGTAATGAGCATGGGGGCAGCTGCCAACAAGGATGGCTTTAAAGATGGAGAATAGACGCATTCACGGAAGACAAAGCCACTAATGTATTTTGGTCATCATGATCATTGTGTGCTGGTCCAGGTAGCTTGCCATGGAATACCAACTGCTGGTGATCAATAGCACAGAGGTCTGTAGAACTTTCCCATGTGTTGTGGGGTGGGCTTCCCATGGGGCTATGCGTTCAGAGCCATTGTGGGCAACAAGATGGGGAACCTAGATAGGTCTTCGCACTGATCCAGTACTAAGTAATACAATAAGAATGTAAAAACCCAACATTGGGTTACGAAACTCAATCCTATAAATCTTGGAACTAATTCATTAAAAATTATTACCCTTTGTAATCTGTGTTGGGTCTTTAAAGTCGGTGTAGTGTTACCAATTGTATAAATTCACATTTCTGTAACGTTCATTGCATTTGCAATACTTATATAAAGCATATATCCCCCCACCGAACCCAGACAGCGGTACCCCTTCATTGTGCCATATGGAAGGACTATCATGCCAAGAAAGATTGTGTGAGACCTGCCTGCATGTACACATTCATAAAGGGTGAATTAACATCTCAGACTTGCTTACCGACCTTGTGTAAAGGTTGTCACAGGTATTCCTGGTTGCAGCTTTTTCTCCACATAGCCATGTTCTGGTCCTGTTTAATTCATTAAAAATTATTACCCTTTGTAAACTGTGTTGGGCCTTTAAAGTTGGTGTAGTGTTTGTTGTTGTTGTTGTTTAGTTGTTAAGTCGTGTCTGACTCTTTGTGACCCCATGGATCAGAGCACGCCAGGCCCTCCTGTCTTTCACTGCCTCCCGGAGTTGGGTCAGATTCATGTTGGTGGCATCAATGACCCTGTCCATCCATCTCATCCTCTGTCGTCCCCTTCTCCTCTTGCCCTCACACTTTCCTAACATCAGGGCCTTCTCCAGGTGTAGTGTTACCAATTGTATAAATTCAATTTTTCGTAAAGTTCATTGCACATGCAATACATATATAAAGAGTATACCCCCACTGAACCCAGACAGTGGTACCCCTTCATTGTGCCAAATGGAAGGACTATCGTACCAAGAAAGATCGTGTGAGACCTTCCTGCATGTACACATTCATAAAGGGCGAATAAACATCTCAGGCTTGCTTACCAACCTTGTGTAAAGGTTGTCACGGGTATTCCTGGTTGCATCTTTTTCTCCACGTAGCCATGTTCTGGTCCCGTCGTCACCTCATAGACAAGGTGTTTGTCATCTGTGTCAGGATCCATCGCCAACAGCTCCTTCTTAGTGATCAGATTTTTTGGCTGAATAGAAGACGCAAAACTGTGATGAAGCTCTCAGAAAGATATTAATAAGTGTTTTCGACCCAGAGTTTGAGAGCATTAAAGATGCAGTGTGGCCGTCCAATCAGCCTTTATACAAAAATATAGGAACAGAACTCTCATCATCACCAACCAGCCTGGCCAATTGGGATGATGGCTGTGAATGTCAGCACTTAGGTAAAGGTTCCCCTTGACATTTAGTCCAGTTGTGTCTGACTCTAGGGTACAGTGCTCATCCCCATCTCCAAGCCATAGAGCCAGCATTTGTTCATAGACAGTTTCCGTGGTCACATGGCCAGTGCGACTAGACACAGAACACTGTGACCTTCCCACTGAGGTGGTACCTATTTATCTACTCGCATTTACATGCTTTTGAACTGCTAGGTTGGCAGGAGCTGGGGCTAGCGATGGGAGCTCACTCCGTTGCGTGGATTTGATCTTACAATGGCTGGTCTTCCAACCTTGCAGCACAGAGGCTTCTGCGGTTTAACCCGCAGCGCCACCACATCCCCATATGTCAGCACTTACATTCCTGTAAATCTGCAGGGCACTGAGTTGGCAAAGGCTGTCCTGCCATATTCTGATCACTAAAAGATATTTCTTCTGGTTACACTTGCAGGCCTGCATTTTTGTCCCTTGATAATTTCTACCACCAAGCTCTGAGATATATATTTCACAAAATGCTTAAAACTGAAGAAGAATAGAAGGACCAGCTTTGGAAATAGAGGGAGCAAATGCTAGTCGTTAAAAAAAATAGGGCTCTGGTTCTGGTTTGTTCACTTGCGATTTATTTACCTATTTATCTAAATACTCTTGAGAGGCCTTCAAGCTCTTCAGCCCCTCTGGTGCTTTCTTACTGCCTGCTCCTCATCCCACTAGCAGCAAAATTCGGGATGTGAGATGGCAGAGAGTATAGCTGGAGGCAGAGTTTGTTAAATATCCCAGAGGTTATCTGATGAAGCAGGCTGCAGACGGTTCAAAAAACGTGAATGCCAATAAAAGCTATCAGTTTTTAAGGTGTCACTGTTCCTTTTGCTGTTTCTGTTGCAAAGGTTTAGCATAGTTAAGACCCTGGAAATACGTCTATGAACTAGAGATGGGGGTATTTGTATTTTTATATGACTATACCATATTTTTCCATTTATAAGACGCCGCCACTTTTCTAACCCCAAATTAAGAAATCTAAGTGGGACTTAGCAAGTGTAGGGGGGAAGGGATCGAAGCACTGCAGGATCACTTTGATACCTGCTTTCCCCTCCACTTGTGTTTGTTCTCTCCTCAACTTACTTCCATGTATGAGACAACCCTCAATTTTTAGTCTAAAGATTTTGGGAAGGGATCAAAGCACTGCAGGATCGCTTTGATCCCTGCTTTCCCCTCCACTTGTATTTGTTCTCTCCTCAACTTACTTCCATGTATAAGATAACCCTCAATTTTTAGTCTGAAGATTTTAGATAAAAGTACAGTCTTATACATGGAAAATATGGTACTTCCACAAGTGGAATAACAAGGGTCCGGTCCAATGGGGCCAGATTGTACACTCACCCACCACTGACACAAGCTCGACAGAGCCTTCCTATTGCGCCTTTGTCCGGTGGGATAACAAGCCTCTCTGCCAGGTCATAGAGTGTCTAAGCCATTGCGGACAACAGCGCAATAGGAAGGCTCTGTCAAGCTCACATCAGCAGTGGAAAGGTGAGTGGACCCTCATTATTTCCATCTGTGGGATGACATTTGTATACGAATAGGAATATCTCCATCTCTACTATGAATGATCTATTTTTGTTGCTACAAGTTTCTTTGAAACCTAAGACGTACTGTTTGTGTGCTGCTCTGCACACAAACCAGCTCTAATGCAAACCTGGCTTAATTTCTATACCTTTCTGCTGGTGATGGAAGAATTCCTTGATTAATTGCAGCAATTAATCAATGAGCACTTCGCACCTTAGGAATGCTAATAGCGGCAAAGTAAGACATCAGAGCTTGCTGGTCTGTGAAGCGGGGGTGGGTGGAAAGCTAAGCTATCAACAACCTGAGACCCACAGTTTAAAATCAATGGTTTAGTTTGCCACAGCTGCTGATGTAACAAGCAACAGAGATTGTCTCCATCTATTATGCTGACCAGAAGCAGCAAGAAAAAGAAAAGAAAAAAACCCTCATTTTATAGTTTAGAGTGTTCTAGCTCCATCCAGCCTTTTTTTCCAATCTCTATCATATTATGAGATTTATACATCCCATGCTCTGGAAAGGCTGGTGAACGACATGAGAAGCACTTGAACATTTATTGACCAGTGATACTGCAAGCAAGGAGAGACTAGAGATATAAAATTTGCAAAAATTTCCATTTCTGTCCTTTTTTTCCTGGGGGGAAATGGAAATTTTCAGAAATTCTACATCTCTAGATAGAAGACTGAAGCTTCCACACATAAATCTTCCACCTAGAACAAAGTATAGTCTCCAAATCCTCAGAATTACTAGCGTCATTCTACTTAGCACTGGTCTGGCTTCACCTTGATTATTTGTGCTGAGTTCTGGACAGCGTACTTCAAGAAGGATCCTAACAAAAGTGGAGCAAGTTCAGAGAAGGGCAACAAGGATGATCAGGGTTTTGGAAACCAAGCCCTAGGAAGAAAGACTGAAAGAACTGGGCCCTGAGAAAAGAAGACTAAAGGGAGATATGACAGCACTTTTCAAATGCTTGAAAGGTAGTCATACAGAGGAGGGGAAGGATCTGGCCTCAATCATCCCAGAGTGTAGGACATGAAACAATGGCCTCAAGTTACTGGAAGTTAGATTATGGTTGAATATCAGGAAAAACTTCCTAACTATTAGAGCAGTACAGCAATAGAAGCAATGATCTCGAGAGTTGGTGATTGCCCCAGCACTGGAGGGATACAAGAGAACATTGGACAACTATAGGTCTCATTTGGATTCCTGCATTGAGCAGGGAGTTGGACTCAGTGGCCTTACAAGCCCCTCCCAACTCCATTACAGTATGATTCTATGATCTTATGACTATATCACCCTGCGTGGGATGTCTATTCGAGTTCTGCTTGTCTCATCTTTGGCGGTTGGGCAAAGAGCAAGTTGCCCTTGAAAGAACTCACCTGCCTCCAGACCAAATCTGGAGGTATAGCAGGTAACAAAATATGAGCCAGATAACATGGGTGCAGATGTAGCCTTCCAGTTATTCAAGAACTGAGAAATTAGCCAATCCATGATCTACTGGTTTCCTCCTACCATCTGCGTGTATAGAAGACAAAGATCTGTCTGAGTTAAAAACAAATTAACCTACCTTGCCATCCATAGACTCCAGCCACTGAAGGCCCAGATTTGTGATGATTCGTGGGGTTCCATCATCCACAGGAAGAATTTCTACTCTGAACCATTGGGGTATGGCGGTCACAATCTGAGGAAATAGCCAAGAAAGCACACACATAATCACCCATCTCCTGAAAAGGACAAAAGCTGATCCCACAGCCACGAATACTCCACTCCCAAACAAACTGCACCAGAGCACAGAGTGCTGTCCTCTGAAGATGCCGGCCACAGAGACTGGCAACACGTCAGGAAGAACAACCTTTAGAACACAGCCAAAGAGCCTGAAAACCCCACAACAACCATTAGATCCCAGCCGTAAAAGACTTTGCGAATACAAAGCACACACTGATTTCCATACTGTGCAAGATACTATAGTAGAGTCCCAAAAATTGTGGAAATGTTATTTTTCTGCCGTGCTCCTTCCAAGAACTTCCCCCAACAGCACAGCCATTTTGAACAACAATTCCCAGAATACCTAATGGCCAGAAATTCTTGGCTCTGTCTTCCAAAAAAAGTAACCTTTACAGCCTTTGATTTATATTATAATTCATGCAGATTATTATGGATTCGGCACTTCTTTCACACTTTTAGGGTCAATCCATATCCAAAACAGCTCCTTGGAAGAAAGACCGTCCTTGGTCTGCTTATTTTACACAGAGAAAAGTGAAGTCAAATGAAACCAATCTGCCTGGTGTCACTGCATAGCTGAGATCTAAAGCTCAGTCCTTGAATCTTTAATTGTATTCTCCCAACTCTGTGAAGCCACCAGTTCTTATTCATTACTATTTACAGGCTGAGGAAGCTGAGAAAGAACATTTTGCCCAGCACTAAGTCCTGCTGAGGGAGGGTTTTTTTTAAAATAAGCATTTATAACAGTGTTACTCCGTTTGCTATCTAAAGCAGTCCAATCCAGTGAAGTCATACCATGCATTCTTAGAGCATGCAAAGGTCAGCTTGGGCTGATATTAGAGATGGGGATATTTGTATATGAATATCCAAGTGTAGCTGGACCTAATGAGGGTCTGGCCTCTGGGACCGGACTGTCCACTCACGTGTCCTGCTGCAACCCTGGTCCCACTCATCCTTCCAATGGTGTCTGGAGCTCCGCCCTCTTCCTGTTCAGCTGGCTACGCCAGGCAGGGGGTGGGATGACAAATCTCCCCACACGGCGGCTGAGTGGCCAGCTGAGCAGGAAGAGAGAGGAGTTCTGGGCACCACTGGAAGGATGAGCAGGGCCAGCACCATGGCAAGATGCATGAGTGGACACTCTGGTTTGGGGGGGCTGGACCCTCGTTAGGTCTAGCTGTGCAGGGATGGTCACATTTGTATATGAATACGAGTATCTCCATCTCTACCTGAGATCTGTGGTGCTGGAGGAGACTCTTGAGAGTCCCCTGGACTGCAAGGAGAAGAAATCTATCTATTCTGAAGGAAATCAACCCCGAGTGCTCACTGGAAGGACAGGTCCTGAAGCTGAGGCTCCAGTACTATGGCCATCTCATGAGAAGAGAAGACTCCCTGGAAAAGACCCTGATGTTGGGAAAGTGTGAAGGCAAGAGGAGAAGGGGACGACAGAGGACGAGATGGTTGGACAGTGTCATCGAAGCTACCAGAATGAATCTGACCCAACTCCGGCAGGCAGTGGAAGACAGGAGGGCTTGGCGTGCTCTGATCCATGGGGTCACAAAGAGTCGGACATGACTTAACGACTAAACAACAACAAAGCTGAGATCTATAAATGGTATGGCTTCCCAACTCACCTCTTTACCATCCTCCTCTACAACAAAGAAGGGATTTGTTCCATCAGACACAGTGAAGGTAAAGCGGTCCTCCAGCGAGTTGCTTCCATCGTGGCTGTAACTGATCCGATTCTGGTAGACATCCTCCATTGTGAAGGCATGGGTCTGGCGATGGTGCCCATCATGACCACGTTCAATCAGGCCATGGCGTGGAGGCTGCACAACTGTGAAGGTAACAGACTTGGCCTATAATCGAGAGAAAACGTGTGAAGAGGACATAAGAAATCAGGACAGAATGAGATGCCTCGAAATCTTTTTTAAAAAATAACTTCCCTAAGCAATGGACCTCCTTAAAAACCTAGGATTTCCTATAGCTGCTTAAACGGGTGTCACACATCATGACCACGTTCAATCAGGCCATGGCGTGGAGGCTGCACAACTGTGAAGGTAACAGACTTGGCCTATAATCGAGAGAAAACGTGTGAAGAGGACATAAGAAATCAGGACAGAATGAGATGCCTCGAAATCTTTTTTAAAAAATATCTTCCCTAAGCAATGGACCTCCTTAAATACCTGTGATTTCCTATAGCTGCTTAAACGGATGTCACACAGAAGTAGATGATACAGTAATCAGTATTAGAAATGGATCTACTTTAAGCGGGGAAGATGCCTGTTTATGCTAATGTGGACACCCCTTACTCTGTACCTTGCAAACTGGGTTCCCTGATTCTGTAATGAGTCATCAGATGGAGTAAGCAGGCCTGCACATCATAGGCTTCCCTCAGACAAACAGCTCTGAAGGAACTGCATTGTAACAACAGGAAATACACATTTTCTTTAATAGATAATTTGAGCCTACATGTATGACCTGAGAGTTAGTTCTCTCACAAGGGAAGAACTGGACTCTGCCTCTCTGTGGTCCTTGACTTTCCTTTGCCAGCCACAAGTACACAGATTTGTGATTCTAGTTCAAAAACACAAATCTGCATACCTGCTGGGGCACGGCAGGTTTCACTCCTCTTTGGTCTTCCATCTGCTCACCATTGTAGCATGAGGAGAGGGACAGCCTGTGGCCCTCAATTCACACTACTTTCAGCTCTTGCCCTGCACATTGTCAGCAGGAACAACAGAACATCTCTGCCTTCAACGGGAAAGAACAAGCCCCGGTCCCCATTTATAACACTTTACAAAGACAAAACACAGACACATTTGTTTTATTTACCTCTGTGTCCATGTCTCTGGCCTTCAGCTCAAACTCTGTGATGGTCTTCCTCATCCCTTCCTGGACCTTCATCCCAGCACTTTGCACGACCGGTAAAGAGTCATCTACTGGGTTAATGGGGATGTCAAAATTCTGGCTCACCTGTAGTAGGAAACAAACAAATAAACAAAAAGTCTTTTGATGGACTAGCTTTGCTGAAGCATTTTTCAAGAGCAAAAGAAAACCGTTCTCACCTCGTTTGTCCCATCAGAGAGAGAGAACGTGAACCTGTCAGAATGCTTCTCGGCCTCGCTGGTATGGATGTAATGTATGCTGCGAGAGACCAGGTCTGCCTGTGTGAAGGAGCTTATCCTCCTGCCTAGTGTGGAAAAAATAAGCGCAGAGGACTTCAAAGAGCAGCAAGTAGACAGAGATAAGAACTAGAAAAACTTTCAAAACAAGAAAGAAGGTCAGGTTTGTCAGGACTGCATGGGACTAGGACGGGATACCAAAACCCAGCGGAATCAAATTGAGTTTTAAAAGTTAGTTTATGATGTTAGTTTATAAAGTTAGTTTATAAAGCTGCCTAGAGTGGTCTTGTAGACCAGATGGGTGGGGTATAAATCAAATAAATAAATAAAATAAATGTTTACTTGCTTTTCATTATGCAACTGTATTTTAATTAGCATACAGTTTGTTTTTCCAACCTTTAACTTATCATGTTTTAACGGTATTCTTTTTACTTTGGTGAGCTGCCTCAGGTCCGCTTATTGGGAGAAAAGTGGCCAATAGGGAAAACAAACAAACACAAAACGTTTGCACAAAACCCGAAGTCAGTTAGTGGCTGATGTTTGCCCCCAGCCATTAACTGACTTAGGATCTTGTGCAAACCTTTGCACAAACTTTTGCCGGCTGAGACACAAAGAGAAGCTACTGTTTGGTTGCCTTATCGACGTGTGGCACTTCCCCCAGCAGGTGCAAGTTTTTTGTGAGAGCCTCCAATTTGCTGTGGTGCTCTGCATTTGAGAGACAGAATGAGGCAGGACGAGTGACAAGAAGACTCAGGAGTCACAAGCTGATGCTTTGCTCCACGTCCTGCTCCAAACGGCATGAACTCACTTAGTCCTTTCTCTCCCTATCCCATCCGCTCCCTTTGAGCCTCCCTTTTTTTGGCATGCAAACACTGCAGAAACATATCATACATATCAACCCATCTGCACTGCGCCAGGGAACTGTGGGACCAGTGGTAAGTGGGGTAGAGATGAGCACACACAGATGGCAAAAACACCTCACCCAGAGACCAAATGTCCGAGCTGAGGTTGCTTGGTGATCCTGTACAGGAGATCACTGGGCTCGTTGTCCTGATCCGTGGCTGACAACTCAAGGGTGGTGATCTTCTTAACTGAGTTTTCATCCAGGGTCAGTCCGGTGTTGACAATGACAGATGGAGGCAACTGGTCCTCTGAAAGCATTGGGAAATGAAAAAAAAAGTGGAAGATAAGCAGCTTCCACTCTTCTCTGTCTCCCCAATGCTGTTTTAATCTCTCTGGTACATAGACGTTCTAAACTGGGTTCCCTGCCAAAGAAAATATGAGCCTTTGATTGAAATCCAGTTGCAGGCTTGTTGATTAAGTGGATGTTTGTTGAGTTCAACTCCTCCGTAAGTTCAATTGGTTTAAATGGGTCTATTTTAGTTTGACGTACTACACTAAAGTAAGTTCCAGACCCACTTGAACCAACAGAACGTGAGGAGGAGTTGACTCACCAAAGTCCCTCAGATTCATATGGAACTACTCTAGTGTGACTCATGATATCCAGCAACAGGATTTCAGCCATCGACGCATACACTCTTGCTTGCACCTCACCAAAGTTGCAAGCATGGTTCCTGGCAATAACAAGCAGACCCTTCAAAGTAAGTGCCACAAAATGTGGAACATTCTGCCCCATGAAGACTGGGCAGGCCCCTCTTCAGAGACCGTTTGTTGTTTGGAAAAAAACCCCATCCTTTTAAATCAAGTTTTTGCCTGTGACGTCTTTGTTTTGACAACTCAAGGGTGGTGATCTTCTTAACTGAGTTTTCATCCAGGGTCAGTCCGGTGTTGACAATGACAGATGGAGGCAATTGGTCCTCTGAAAGCATTGGGAAATGAAAAAAAAAAAGTGGAAGATAAGCAGCTTCCACTCTTCTCTGTCTCCCCAATGCTGTTTTAATCTCTCTGGTACACAGACGTTCTAAACTGGGTTCCCTGCCAAAGAAAATATGAGCCTTTGATTGAAATCTGGTTGCAGGCTCATTGATTAAGTGGGCATTTGGTGAGTTCAACTACTCCATAAGTTCAATTGGTTTAAATGGGTCTACTTTAGTTTGACGTACTACACTAAAGTAAGTTCCAACTAGAGCAGACCCACTTGAACCAACAGAACGTGAGGAGGAGTTGACTCACCAAAGTCCTACTGATTCATATGGAACTACTCTAGTGTGATTGATGATGTCCAGCAACAGGACTTCAGCCACTGACTCATACACTCTCATTTGTACCTCACCAAGGTTGCAAGCATGGTTCCTGGCAATAACAAGCAGACCCTTCAAAGTAAGTGCCACAAAATGTGGAACATTCTGCCCCATGAAGACTAGGCATGCCCCTCTTCGGAGACCATTTGTTGTTTAGGAAAAAAACCCATCCTTTTTAAGCAAGTTTTTGCTTGTGAAGTCTTTGGTTTTGCTTAAAGAGATCATGCATTAAAGGTTAAGAACCACTGCTTTAAGAGATCATGCATCCATGATCTCTACCTGAGCATTTTTACTGTATTTCTTCAACAGAATGAATGTTGTTTATTATGGTTCTGAATTGCTGGTGGTGAAGACAGGACATGTAGAGTGTCCTCGAACATCAGATCAGTAACACCAAAACTTTTATTAGTGTACCATAGCCTCTGCTTGGCCCTTGCCGTGGCGCACAAGACCATTCCCACTTCTGCTTATGTTATATCCTCTTGCTCAGGCTTCTTCCGGATTTTTTTGTCTATAATCAATGAAGTCAAATCAACTTCCCTGCCAAAACCAGAATGGGCTGTATCAAGAACTGAGACTTTACCTATTATGCTGATCGGAAATGTCTGCTCCTCTATTTTATTCCCTTCCACATCTGCCACATCAAAGATGAAGGCAACTGTCCCGCCACGCTCCCTTTTTCCATGGCTGTACTCCACCATCCCTGTAGGGGGGAAAAACAGAAGAGAAGAAAAGGGAATAATGAGTTAAGGCCATGATTGTGGGACAAACTAGATGGTGTGCTTGTAATGTTTTTAGAACAAGTGCTCCCTTAAGTGATGAGAGATTATCTGTTTGCTTTTTCACATTATATTCACCACTGTTGCATATGGCAGTTAGCATGCTTTTTTCTGTGGATGGTAAACACAGGCCTAATTTGCATATCGGACTACTAAAGCACACGTCAATGAGAAAACCTCATGATGCAGGATATACTTCTTCCCCTTACTGTTGAGTGACCAAGTTTTCATGGAGATGGAACCCCATGTTTGTATTGTAGCATTTTAATGGCAAGCATAGGCCTTCCTGGTGACTCAACACTGCTCCACAGAAAAATCTTTGTCAGACAGAAAACAATTTGTCATTGAGAATGCTAAGATGACAGTGTGGGTGAGGAATCTCTATAGCTCTCCAGATCTTGCCAGACAACCAATCCCATTGGTCATGCTGTGTGAGACTGATGGGAATTCTTGGCCATACTTTTGAAGGGGCAAAGGTTTCCTTCCGAGTTTTGTACTGAAGCAGGTTCTCTAGAGCAGTGGTTCCCAAACTTGGCTAACCCAGGTGTTCTTGGACTACAACTCCCAGAAACCCCGGCCAGCACAGCTGCTGGTGAAGGCTTCTGGGAACTGCAGTCTAAGATCACCTGGGTTACCCAAGGTTGGGAACCACTGATCTAGAAGACGCTGCTCTCCACCTCCCCTCATCTGAATGGTAAGGAATTATAAAAGTTGTAGACCAGTAACATCTGAAGGGCCATAATCACCTGAACTAGAACATTGATCTGAGAATGTGACAAGCAGCTGTACACCCATGCACCACACAACCCAACTCCAGAAATGACATTGTCCCACCTTTGTTTATATCCGCCTGTGTGAAACTTTTGACTGGTCCCTTGGCAGAGATTGGAAGCAAAGAATCCGTTTTATGCAGACGCAGGAGGCCAACGCTGGGATCCTGTTTCATAAAATATCTGAGAGTCAGGTCATCCGAGTCTACGTCTGCAGCTTTCAGGTGCTGGTCCGTAATAACTGCAAGAGAGCCTGGATAGTAAAAGAATGGAGACAGTCACCAATGCGTTCTTTCTGCTTGTTAAATTGTTTTTAAATGAGTGGGCATAGTTACAACACAGCTTCATGCATTCAAAAAAAGTGTGTGTGGGGGGCAGAATACAAAATTCTGCTATTTACCTTTCCCATCAAATCGCTTCATTCAGATGATGTCATGCATCTAAAATCAATACCCTATTGAATGCACTTTCCTAATTATCTGACACCCAGAAAGTCTCAGATGATTCAGAAGTTCAGAAAAAAATAAGAGTTTCAGATGGCGAGCATCACTGGAACGAAGGGCTCAAGCTGGAAGAGTAAAGACTGCTAGTAATTACAGGCACTTCTTAGAAGCATACAGGCTTCTACATACTGAAGCACATAGGATCACATTCATTTCCTTTCTATCCTTATTGCAATTTATGCTGAAATGCACAAAGCTGTCATACACTGTCTTGGATCCTTCGTTCCTCTCGCTCTCCCTATCCTGATAATACAGTCTATTCAAGGTTCACAGTGGCTCTTCCTGTTTTGTTGTCCGAAATCTTTTCATCTGGAAAATGTAGGAATTGAACCTACAACCATTGTAGGTTCAGCCCCATGACTGAGCTACATCTCTTCCCATTTTGAAACAGTTTGCTTTATCCTACAGCGTTTTGTGCATTAATTAAAGGGGTAATAACTGGTGCTGAACTGAACTCAAGAACTCATAGCACCTTTGCAGATGGTGTTTAAGGTCTAAATGTTTGATTTTGTTGCCCTGAACTCCTCTGTTTTGCCCATAATTTATTTTACATTCAATAATCCATATTTTTCTTTCTCACTGTGAGCAAGGTATCCCGGTTATCTGCACCAGAGGTGTTTTATGACTTCCTGGTCTGTATCTATGCTCCTAAGTACCTCCTTGATTATCCTCTTGATCCAAGAAAATACTCAACAGGGCAGGCCAGAGACAAGCAATAAAGTTGGAAGACTAAACTGAGAGAGAGTCAAACTCCAGTGGAGATATAAGCTAGGTAAGTTTCAGAAATGTTTGCATATGGCATAATGGAAGTCTAAGGAACGACTGGCCCTCTGGCTGCCAACTCCTATATCTCTCACCACTGGCTATGCAGGATAAGTCCTTGCTGTTTTTCTTGTTAACCTGAAAGAACAGAAGGGGTAATTGGCCCTGGAAAGCGACGACATAACCACGTCCTTAAAGATGTCATTCCCTCTTGCTAAGAGACCTGAGAACTGTAGTTTTGTGACAGGTAGCTGAGAAAGGTATCTGAAGAATTCTCAGTGAGCCTTTCCAGTGGTTTTCTAGGTAGAGAATATTCAGAAGCATTCTCTTCCTCTAGGGGCACAGTGGAGATTCGAACTCCCAACCTCTAGCTCCACAGCCAGATACCTAAATACTAAGCTATCCAAGCCAGCCCTGTTATACAGTGGTGCCTCACTTGACGAGGATAATTCGTTCCATTGAAATCGCTGTACAGCGAAATCCTCATCAAGTGAAACTCAAAAGCCCATTGAAATGCATTGAAACTGGTTCAATGCGTTCCAATAGGCTAAATACTTCAGCATCCAGCGAAGATCCTCCATAGGGGTGGCCGTTTTTGATGCCTGTAAAGCGAGTAATCCGTCCTGAAAACACAGAGGGGAGCTATTCTGCACAGTGAGCAGCCATTTTAGAGCCGCTGATCAGCTGTTTCTAAATTGTCATTTTGTGAAAAATTGGTTCCCGAAGCAGGGAACTGATCATCGTTAAGTGAAATTTCCCTATCTAAACATCGTTTTGCAATCGCAAAAGCGATCGCAAAAACTTAATCGTCAAGCGGTTTCATCGTTTAACGAGGTAATCGTTAAGCGAGGCACCACTGTAGTTGCCTACAGTCATTTCAAGTTTGTCATGTACATATATTTGCAGCAAGTTTGGTTAATCAGGATAATTTGGATAACGGACCTTCACACACGTATTGCACTCAATTCTATATTTAAAGGAATGCAGATTTTAATTTTTTTAACAAAAGGATACTATTCTATGAGTGCAGCTATACTGTCAGTGGCGTTACCAACTCCACAGAAAGCATGTCTTGCATTTCCATTGCATACCAGCAGGAAGTTGCAGGCCCCTGTTCACGACCAATCTGGGCGGTTCCATCCTTGGCAGTGCCATGGTGAACTCAACTGCGCCCGTCCGTGTGTAGAGACCATCCGAAAGTGAAAATCTAAACTCATCTGATTGGCTTCTCAAAGTGTTTGGCGTGTAAACCATCAGTTCCTCCAGGATATCCTGATAGGTGAAGGCCGAGCCTTCCGAGACAATTTGGCCCTTCTCCAAGGGAACCAGGGGAGATGACCTCTTGCGGACAAAACCTGAGTATAACAAAAATATTATGATTTTCTTTCCACTTTCCCCCAAGTTTTTTTTAACCACTGATGCTGATTCTTCACATAATACTTGATTCTCCTGTGGAATATATCCTAAGGCATTATCCAATAATGTTGATGGCTTTTTAGAAGGATTTATGACCCTTCTCAAAGGACAGTCTTTCAATACTGGATAGACAAGGCAACAATAACTACAACAAATGGTGTTTCAAACTCTAGAGGCACCAAACCTCTGATTCGGGATGAGGAAGAAAGCTAAACATGCCCGGACAGCTCTCTCCCGTACTTAATACAAAAACATAAAGGGAAATCAAGACTGGGATTTTAATAAAATAAATTTTCTGTACTACCTACAAGAACTTGATGCACAGCTTGAAGGAAACAAATTATCATTGAAAGCTAGTTGTCTGCTTGATTTTTTTTAGTAGTCTAATAAATAATAGAGGTATAAACTGCTCTTGCCTCTTAGTATACTTTTTTGGAGACTGCACAGTCCTTTTGTGATTCCCCCTCCCTAAAAAAAGTCAAGAGTTTGGCAAAAGAAAAGGGGTGTGAGCTTTCATGGGTCAAAGTCCATGGAAGTTTGTTTCTTTTCCTTTTGCCAATAAGCTGAGTCAGACAAAGACGTCTTCTTCTTTGGAAAATGTCAGGGCTTTTCCATCCTGCAAATGTTGCCGAAGTGTTTGAAAACAAACAGAAATAAAAACCACTGACCAATTTCAAAAGGGGCGAGTATTCTCAACATGGAGAACCCTATTTTGTGCCTTCCAGCAGCCTGATTCACAGACAGAGGCGTATGAAGTTGCCAGTTTTATTCAACATTGGGATCCTAAGCCCCACTGCATCGCTTCACTTGTGCAATGGGAATGGAGTTGTCATCAATGGCAGACTGCTGCTGACTACAGAGCTTCTTTTTCCATTTCAGGGTGTGCACAACTTCCTCTCACTATGTGTGAGTCCAACGCAACCCAAAGAAACTCTTTAAGCAGTAGCAATCTACCACTGCCTACAACGTGATTCCCACTGCACAGATGGAACAACAGAATAGGTTACGAGCCTGAGAGTTTGAAAAATTTGGTATTTTACTGCAAGTCACCCCAAGAAGTAGCAATAAAATCCGATTTGCCTTCTTCCATTTCTGCTCTAGTGCTCTGAATTACCTGCAGGATGAGAAGCAGGGATTTGGGACCAGACCAAATCTCTTTCTCAGAGTTGGGAAAGTTGTTTTTGGGGGGAAGATAACTTCCATGGTCCCTGGGGTAAATTCCAGCTGAAGGGCTATGGGAATTGTAATTTAAAAATGTAGTATTTCCATGCTATGGCCAGTCTAGTCATGCATGATGTTCCCACATCAGAGGAGAGTACCCGCAAGTGGACCTGACCAAAGAGCATCATCCTATTAATGTTCCCCAGCAAGCAGTACTGGAAGACACTCTGTCTCCGATGCTGGAGGTAATATACAGCCACCAAGAGTCATGGCGGCTTATGGCCCAGTTTCTCCATGCCACTTACCATAAGTGGGTTTCTTTGTTAATACAAAGATCAGCTGGTTGGGAGGTGTGTCCGGGTCTTTTATCCCCACGGAAAAATTTCTGATCACGGCCCCTTGGCTTGCCTGTATTTTGATGGGCTCCAGTTGGAGTTCAGGAGGTTCATCATTCAAACGCTATAATATCAGGAAAGAACAAACTTACAAGAGAAAATGTCTTGTTGCAATGGAGTGAGATATGCCATGTAGGGATCAGAGAAAGGGTGGGGGAATAACCAGAAGCTGCCTCTACTGGTTCAAAATTTGTTTCGCAAATGTAGTGAATGAACCATAACTTTAAGAGCAAGCTTTTTAAACAATAAGTACCACAAATGACATAAGACAAGCCAACTGTCTGAATGGATTTTCCTTGCTTACCTTAATAGTGATGTTGACACTGCTGGTTTCAGATTGGCTGAAGCCATCACTAACATAAAAGCTAAAAGTATCCATGGAGGGTTCAATACTTTCATGGACACTTTGAAAGTAATAGATATGGTTCTTCATCACATCTTGAAGCGAGAACGAAAGATCTGAGTTCATGGCGCTTCGAGGGCCAAATTGCCTGCCTGTGAACATAATAGGGTGTTTATGAAAGGATAGTTCTCATTTTTTTTAAAAAAAATAAAATACCCAGACAGAGAGCAGCTGAGCTATTTTTCTCATTTTTGCTTCAAAGTCAACAGCAATAAGCCCAGTGGCCTATTTTTTAAAAAATCACATTACAATGAATTCAGCAGTTTAGTTACAAGTTGTGTAAAGAAGGCCTTATCAGGATTTAGAAAAATGTTTCACTAAGCCGTTCTGAGGTGTCCCTGCATTGGGACTGGCTGCAGAATGATCAAATTGGAGGCAGTGACTCTTTATGGAGGTAACATTAAACCATGATTTCATGTGACACAAAAATGAGCCTCCCTCCCTGTCTTGCTCTTTGAACTTCCTCTAGCACTGGTCTAAGAAGCTGGTTATCCGCACTCTAAACTGTGGTGAAGCTGTAACTATAAACCCAGCTTAGGAAACTATGGCTTCAAGTGGGTTTGTTTCCAGTAACCACACTTAGGCTTAACCGCAGTTTGCCTAGGTTTTGAAGACATAGCAAGCTATGGTTGAGAAAAAATGTTTTGGAAATTGACTTCGCAGCAACGGGTGGAGAAATATTCATGGACATTCTGCACATGCTAAACAGTGAATTGGCATGGCATCTGAACCAGCCTAATGGAATGATTTCCCAGAACACATCACCTCAGCAAAGAGTGCCTGAAGATATGAAAGACCAGAACGGAGGATTGTGCAGCTACGCAGCCGCCGGAAGACCCACGTTCCAGCATGTGCTTTGATTTCCACAGGCCTCAGCAAAGAGTGCCTGAAGATATGAAAGGCCAGAACGAAGGATTGCAGCCAGAAGACTCACATTCCAGCATGTCCTTTGGTTTCCACAGGTGCACCTTCTGCTACTTATTTTCATGGTATATTTGCATTGCTCTGGTGGGTGGGATCTCCTAGCCTAGAAAGCGAGGGCTTGTTAATTAGCATGAATCTATACCACTATTCTTTCACAGGATTTGCATCTTACCTGTCTTGGTGTTTTCAATATACCCATATTTTGGAAGAGTCACAATTTTTATCACCAGATCTTGATGGGCAAGATCAGAATCAGGGGCTACAATGTGATGTGCCCCAAGCAGGACCTGGCCTCCTTCTTCAACCTGAAAACACAGAAGTGAAACTGAGAGTTATGCTTGGGGTTTCCTCTGGAAATCCTGTAACTTAGGTATGCTTAGAGGACAGGCCCAGGCTATTGGGTCAGTACCAATGGTTTCACTTATGCACTGCCTGGAAACATTAAATTAAAAAAACCAGAAATATGTGTTTCCAATATGTATTATCAAACCTGGCCACTAGAGGGACTGTGCTATAGTTACAGGTATATATATATAGCACAGTCCCTCTATATGGTTTGCTTATCTAGGATTTCTGGCCTCTATGGGGGTGGGGGGTTGGAACTGATCCCCTGCAGATACCATGTTCCTGGCAAAACCAGAACGGCTTCCCTCCACTTAGATTAGCATCTCTGATGCTTTGTGATGCAGGTCACTCCAGTGTTATGCCTTATGGAGTGCTGTAGGCAACTGACTCCATTCCTGTACCACCATTTTGTCCAAAACTGGCTGCGGCGGATGGATGCTTGCAAAAGGGGGGTCCCATGAGACTGGAACTTTCCCCTATTTATTTTAGCTGCCGCTCCATGCCTCTTCCAACAGCCACTATTCACACAATATTGTATATGGGGAGTAGGAGATGATGCTCTAAAGCAGTGGTCCCCAACCTTGGGCCTCCAGATGTTCTTGGACTACAATTACCAGAAGCCTTCACCACCACTTCTGCTAGCCAGGATTTGTGGGAGTTGAAGTCTAAAAACAACTGGAGACCCAAGGTTGGGGACCACTGATCTAAAGTTCTGCCCTTCATATCATCGATTTCCTTTTTGCCAGACTGAACCGCAGGGCAGAAGGATGCAAGGCAGGTATACATTTCAAAGAATGGCTGAATTGGAGATTTAGAACACCATGTTTTAGTCATCAACTTCCTACATTCTTTCTCATGCAACTGACCAAGGATTATAAGGGGAAAATCCCAAGTCCCAAAAATGTCTTCTGAGGAAATACTTCAAGGACATGAAGAAGCAGGCTGCAGCCCATGAAAGCTGAGGCGATCTGTCAGCAACACACCCCCTTCAGGACCAGATGTGGCCCCTATCAGCACCATCAATCCCCCCTCAACTTTACCTTCCCCAAAGTGTTTTTTTTAAAAAGTTTAAACTGCTTCAAGATTTTCTTTATTAAAATTAAAAAATGCCATGAAATCTTTCACCCAGGCACTAAATAGGCACTCTTCCTACTTTATTAAATGGGAGCTACTGACATTCTGTTCTTCTCTTGCAACCTTCAAAAATCTCAGGCTGCTTACGTACCATGATGTGGTCGGCAAAAGCGATGATTTGAGGCTGACTCTGGGGAGGTGTGATAGTGATGGTGAACATCTGACTGTCCAGGCGGTTGTCATCAGCATCAAACACGGTGAAGTGGAAAATGTCTGTGACGGGCTGGTGGAGGGTCTCAAATTCTGTAGCATACCTGCAGGGGAATGGAAACAGGAGCTTGAATTGAACCGGAATAGCAGCCAGATGAAAATGTTTCACATTGTGGGCTTTGGAACTTGTTTACATGCAGTGAGGAGACAATTTAATCTTCTCCACCTTCATCTCATCTGCTTCGGGGAGAAATAGAGTTGCCCTTTGGCTTTACAGAGTGAGTTGAATTGATTGGGAAAGGGCAGTCTAGCAACAGTGAAAGAAGGGACAGCAATTATACACTTGAATCCTACTGCTTTCGAAGCCAACATTAAGTCTGTTATGATGATGAACCAGTTGTGATGAACCCATTCTGTAGATTAGTTTTGTAAGAGAGGAGAATTGATTTATGAGCATGTTGAACATGGTTTGAAAAAGGCATAGCTTCCTGTGATTTATGCCAGAGCCTCAAAAAGTTACTTTCTGAACTTCAGCTCTGGCTAATGGTCAGGTAAATAAAAATTTAAAAAAAGATTTAGAAATAGTTTTGGGGAGGTGTTCCTTTTCACAGATATGGGCTTGGCAGGGTTTTAAAGCAATCTTAAAACCTACTTACAAGACATCCAAATGCAGTAATGTATAGACTGAAGTAAAAAATCTCTTCCTGGTGGCCCAGTTGAGATAAAAGAACTAGTACACAAATACGTCTACTTGAGCATCATGCTTGCATATATATCCTCTTCCTCTCCTCCTCTTGGTGGCAAACAAAGAGGCTGGAAGAGTTTGCTCCCACTTTTAAACCAACCACAGTTCACCACTATACCTAAACAGCTTTGTAAACAAACCATGATTTCTTTAAACTGTGGTTTGTTAAGAGCAAGCCACAATCAAATCATGGTTTCAGAATGTTCTGAAAAACCAATGGAAACAAATTGCAATTTCTAGGATTTAGTTGTTTTGTTTACAAGCAGAAGCATCTAACGACTTGCTGTAAGATATGTGAGGAGGAAGAGGATCATGTGAGCCCAAAGTTCATGAAGGTTCATGAGAAACGGTGAGTTTCCCAGGATATTCAAACTGAATTGCTTGCTGTTTTCAACTCCCTGAGGAAAACTCCCCCATCTCCAGTGTTAAATTATATAGACTAGTATCCTGTCAGTGCAGCCATATGGGCATGGGGCTGAAGGTGAATTCACAGGAGAGCAGAGCTTCGGGAGATGCAATCATGACAGTGATGACTTAGCCACAATATCCATTCCTCAACACTGCATGGAGAATCTGCAGCTAGATGTGGGCTTTATACAGCTCCTGTAATGAGGGGGACTGTGTACACAATGGTTTGTTGGCAGCTGCAAATTCCACTAGTCATAACGTCCAAAGGGAGTTGGCCATACAACACAATCTGAGAGCCACAAGTAGGGAAAGGATCTAGAATCTTCTAATTAGTCCTCCACCCCACTACTCTGATTAGGAATGATACTCTAACTACTAGTTTCACATCCCATCCGTATCTCCCTCAGCTTTCCCTCCCAATTTAAAAAGCACTAAACAGCACTGATGTTACCTGTCTGTCATGGGTTTGGAATTTTGGTTCCATCCTATGGGGAGTGGAAGGCGGGACATCAGGAGGAGGGGCTGTACTGTATATATATGTGGAGCGTGTGGGGAGAAGCTAGAGAAGCAGCTGGGAAGAAGAAGCTGGTGTGGGAGTCTGTGTGTCAGACAGGGTACTACTGTGTGTCAGTCAGTACCAACCTGATAGGTTCAGGTGTCTGTATGGTTAGCCAGAACTGATAGGTTCAGGGTCTGTGCTTCAAGTTAAGTGTTCTGTGTGAACCAAACTGTGTGTATGTATGATTGAGACTAAGCCACGTTACTGTATCTTATTCCCTTGATCATTTTATTTTTCCCTGTGTGTTATTTAATAAACCTTGTTCTTTTATTTGTTAAAAATCCATCCCTGGTCTGTGTGACTTCTTATAGGGAATGGTTGGTGGCAGCTTAGTGAAACTGTGGCATATCCCAGTAGGTCTGGGTTTGTCACAATATCGTCCAAAGGGAGTTGGCCATACAACACAATCTGAGAGCCACAAGTAGGGAAAGGATCTAGAATCTTCTAATTAGTCCTCCACCCCACTACTCTGATTAGGAATGATACTCTAACTACTAGTTTCACATCCCATCCGTATCTCCCTCAGCTTTCCCTCCCAATTTAAAAAGCACTAAAAACAGCTTTTAGTGCTTGCAAAATATAATTTTACAATTTTGTATAATTTTGTATAATTGTATAATTTTGACCAAACTCTGGGAGGCAGTGGAAGACAGGAGGGGCTTGGCATGCTCTGGCCCATGGGGTCACGAAAAGGTGGACACGACTTAATGATTAAACAACAACAAAAAATAGCTTAAGCTTTTCTTCACTAGGCAAGACTGCCCCCTCAGTGTCATCATTCCTGCTACCTATTTTGGTTCCTGTTCCATCCTCCGCATCTACGCTGAGCTAATATATTTTGTAAAACCTTGTTTGGGAAGCGCCAACCTTACAGCTGTAATTAAGTTCAGAAAATATCGAAAGGTAAATTGTTCCTAGAAGCATCACGGATGTTGAATACCTGTCTTGCCCTATAGGTGGCAGTGTAGGATCGCTCCTGAATGCATTTAGTGGCCAGAGTGGGATTTTGAAGGAACATTGTAGAATATCTCAAGATTTACCTGATTCTTTGATGGTCGATGTCTTCCATTGTGAAATTATAGGCCTCAGAAAACTCGGACAGTCGCCTGGGAATCATCCGCACAAGAGTGCCATACATAGGAAGAGAAATTAACTGAATCCTTATTTTAGAATCAGGCGAATTATTATCCTAAGGACCAAAAAAGCAGAATTTATCTTCGCTATCTAAAATGAGGAAGGTCGCAGCAGGCAAAACCAGGACTCTAGCTTTATTATCTTTTAAATAGGTACTAAAGATAAGGGAATATATTTGCTATAAACCTGCCCCCACTCCCTTGTGTTGTTCTGCTGCGCTCCTTTTGAGGCGGCCCAGTTCCTGTTTCGCCTAGCGCCACAATAAATTATGCAAAATACTAAAAACTGCAGCTCCCGTTCAGCAAAATAAGAGTGTTTGTGTGAATTTCCCTCAATCTGTCTAATTTTATGAAGGTCACAGAATGCGACCTTTCGGGCAGAAGAAGATTGGATTGTCTGAGTAAGGGTTGGTCAATTAGTGCTGTGTACAAACATTTTCTCCCTGTAATTGGTAGCATAATTTTGTTCATGTTTTGCATAGAATTAAAACAGAATACAGAAGGTGGACCATCAGTATAATTCAATGGATTTCATGGCTGTGACATTAAAACAGTTTTTTCCGCTGGATTAATTGATTTTAATCAATTAAAAGTGCTTTTAAAAGTGGACACTCTATCTATCTATCTATCTATCTATCTATCTATCTATCTATCTATCTATCTATCTATCTATCTGTCTATCTGTCTATCTGTCTATCTATCTATCTATCTATCTATCTATCTATCTATCTATCTATCTATCTATCTATCTATCTATCTATCTATCTATCTATCTTCTATTCCATTCTATTCTATAATATTTCTTGGCCATGTTATAGGTCAAGCAATTTTTGAACACAGCTGCCATAAAACATTTAAAATAAAAGTCAATAAATTAAATAACAAATCTAAGTATGCTATATGAATCATTATGAAAACAGAAATATGCTAACTATGAAACTAATCATAGCAGCAAAACTTAAACCAATAGTCCTAAAAAATGCCAGCTAACTTAAAAAAAAAACTTAAAAATAATAATTACATGCTGCCAATTCAATTCTTAATTAAGGCAACCCTTACCAGAGTTTTCTAGGTACCAAGCACTCAGAAATGGTTTATCATTCCCTTCTTCTGGGGCCACTCTGAGCTACAAAAGCTGGGTCTTGTCTCAGGAGCCATAATGGGGAGGTTGAATTCTCAACCTCTAGCTGCACTCCCAAGTCATTGAGCTTTCCAATAAGCAAAAAAAAATCATTTTGGTTCCAGAGCATGTAAAAACGACTGTAGCACCTTGAATAGGAAGCAACCTGAGATAGGCAAGTCTTTAACGACTAAGAGATTTAGGGCTAAGAGATTTAGGGCACCGTAGGCCCAAAGAGTTATCTTTCCGATCTCTGTTCCTTTAAACGGTATGGAAACGGTCCCTCTTCGGGGAACTCACTGGGTCTAGTATGTCTTCTGCCCAACTGCTATGGTGTAACACCAGCAGCAATAAAGAAACACTATTGAGACTGTTGCATTACTGTGTGTGTTATGCAGATTGAGTCATATTACTGATTGAGTCATATTATTCAATTAACACATCTAGGGGGTGGTGCTCATCCCCGTTTCCAAGCCATAGAGCCAGCGTTTTGTCCCAAGACAATCTTTCCGTGGTCACATGGCCAGTGCGACTTAGACACGGAACGCTGTTTACCTTCCCACCGAGGTGGTCCCTATTTATCTACTCGCATTTGCATGCTTTCGAACCACTAGGTTGGCGGGAGCTGGGACAAGCGACGGGCACTCACTCCGTTGCGTGGATTCGATCTTACGACTGCCGGATCTTCTGACCTTGCAGCACAGGCTTCTGCGGTTTAGCCCACAGCGCCACCACGTTCTAAGAGCCAGCTCTAATGTTGCCACACTTTTAAATTTAAGGATATAGCAACACTTCCACAACATTATTTCTGTTCTGCTGTTTTTACTAAATCAAATTTACTTTAGAGAGGAAATAAGAATGCTTACTCTTTTTTTTGAGTATTCTGACAGGTGAGATTAGAAAAATTATGCTGCAAATGTGGTGTCCATCAGAATAAATTATTTGTTGTCTTCCAGCCAGAGACAATTGTCTGGAAGGGGATACCCCTGAAATTTCAAGACGAGGCACCTCCTATCCCAGTCCATGATCTAGCCACACCTTTTTCTTTTTTCTTTTTTTTTTGACTGGACAGTATTTATTACAGAGGTGAGAAAATGTAACCATCTTTGGCCTCCATGAAACCCCCCCAGGTCCCCAACACATGCATCACCCCAAAAGTCTTTCTATAAACAAACTCTCAAAAAGTTTGTTTATAGAAAGAGGAAGTGATCATCAGCATTTTGGGCTCCCCCTTCCCAAAAAAAAGTCCAGGATTCAGGCAATTAAAAGACTAAAGAAAATTTAAAAGACACAAACCACAATTTGAGAAGGCATGGTTTTGTCAGAGAAGGCCAATGACGGAGAGAGGGCAAACATGGTCTCTGGCCCCTTACCGCTTACCCACTTAATACAAAAACCATGGAAGACTTTTGGGAAATAATATACAAGCAGACCCTATGCTTGCACAAACCTATCCATTCTGTAGGAAATCAACCCTGCATGCTCACTGGAAGGACAGATCCTGAAGCTGAGGCTCCAATCCTTTGGCCATCTCATGAGAAGAGAAGACTCCCTGGAAAAGCCCCTGATGTTGGGAAAGAGTGAAGGCAAGAGAAGAAGGGGGACGACAGAGGACAAGAGGGTTGGACAGTGTCACCAAAGCGATCAACATGACTTTGACCGAACTCCGGGAGGCAGTGGAAGACAGGAAGACCTGGCATGCTCTGGTCCATGGGGTCACGAAGAGTCGGACACAACTTAATGACTAAACAACAACAACAATACCCCATGCATCACTGTTCCCCAACGTGGTACTTCTAGATATATCAGATTACAAATCCTATAATCCTTGTCTCAATTAGATGGCTAGGGGATGAGGGGAGCACTACTCCAACCCGCCTGGAGAGTGCAGGGTTTGGGAAAGGCCTGACAGGGACATGGTGGCTCTGTGGGTTAAACCGCTGAAGCCTCTGCGCTGCAAGGTCAGAAGACCTCCAGTCGTAAGAACGAATCCACACAACAAAGGGAGCCCCCATCGCTCATCCCAGCTCCTGCCAACCTAGTGATTTGAAAGCATGCAAATGCAAAAATGTGAGTAGATAAATACTGTAGGTACCACCTTGGTGGGAATGTAAACATCATTTATTATTATTTATAATAATAATAAATAGTCACACTGGCCATGTGACCGTGGAGGATTGTTTGTGGACAAAACGCTAGCTCTATGGGTTGGAAACGGAGATGAGCACCGCCCCCTAGAGTCGAACACGACTAACCATCTTTGGCCTCCATGAAACCCCCCAGGTCCCCTTTACTAAGGTAAAGGTAATGGTTCCCCTTGACAATTTTTGTCCAGTCGTGTTCGACTCTAGGGGGTGGTGATCATCTCCGTTTCCAAGCCATAGAGCCAGAGTTTTGTCCAAATACAATCTTCCGTGGTCACATGGCCAATGCAACTTAGACACAGAACTCTGTTACCTTCCCACCGAGGTGGTCTCTATTTATCTACTTGCACTTGCATGCTTTCGAACCGCTAGGTTGGCGGGAGCTAGGACAAGTGACGGGCGCTGACTCCGTTGCGTGGATTCGATCTTACGACTGCTGGTCTTCTGACCCTGCAGCATAGAGGCTTCTGCAGTTTAGCCCACAGTGCCACCACGACCTTTACTTCTTCTGCGGTTTAGCCCACAGAACCACCACAACCTTTACTCACTAAGCATCATTAAACACAAGTGGAAAACCTGTCTCCTACAAACCATTCTGTGTACAGCTTTCTGTCACCTGTGTGGTGGGCCAGCAAATTGAAGAGGCTTAACAGCACCTGACTGGGGGATTAGCTTAATTTCCCTTTTACCTCTGCACTTCACCTTTACCTCCATGTAACGTGCACGGTCTGAAACACCTGGTGATAAAGAAGGGATTCATTCTTCCTCCTCCCTCCCTCCTTTCTTTGGCACAGCCACAGGCAGAACATGGCAGGAGAGGTTAAAAACTTTTTTTTCCCCAAGGAAGAACATTCAGAGGAATGTCAGTGGCTTGAGTTACAGTGGCCTCCTTCACACATTTACGGCGCGGCAAAGCAGCTGCTGGCCCAAGATCAGCTTTTGTCTGTGAATAATAAAATGCTAAGAGAGACCAGGCAACGTGCCCGGACTTTATTAGCAGCGCCTTGAAATGCCAAAGAAAACGGGCCAAGTTTCCACCTGTACAGGAGTCAGCATCGTGTTTCTCAAGTAGCAAAGGGCTCGCCATCATTCATGCGCTTCCACAGGCTTAGGAAATGTTTCCTCTGCCAGAACAAGGGCAGAGGAAATGGCCTGCACATTGGGCTGTTGCTAAAGGAAGGGTGGGTAAGAAGGAAAAAGCCAAACCCATGGGAAATGTCCATGGAGAACAACATGCTATAAATTTAGGTTATTCCACTGAGGCAAGTGAAGAGCCAGGTTCGAGTGCCCAGTAGGCCATGAAACTCACTGGATCACCTAGGACCTCTTGCATGTTCTTACCTACCTCATAGGGCTGTTAGTGTTGGAATTATTGCACCCTCATAGGTTGCCTTTAAAAGGTTTTGGATAGGAAGGACCTTTCTGGACTGAATGCCAATTGGGCTGTTAGTGTTGGAATTATTGCACCCTTGTAGGTTGCCTTTAAAAGGTTTTGGCTGGGAAGGACCTTTCTGGACTGAATGCCAATCAATCCAGTAGCAGCTGGTTGTTCCCTCTCTGACTCAGAATTTTAATGAGAGCCCTGCCTCATCAAGGCTCTCAGTGGTTACTCAAGTTCTTTTCTCAACTTTTTCCAGACAGACTGTCCGTAATCAGTTAGAGTCAGAGCTATGTAGTCTGTGGACAGTCAGTCACAAAACCAGTGGACCAGCTTAATTCTGTTCACATAGCCAGTTAACATTTTTTTTCTACAGAATGCTCTTTGTTTTAATCTATGAAGAACTGTGAGTAAACATAACATTTTTATTCTCTTCTCTTACTAATATCTCTGAGCCACTTCTTGAGACTGTAAGTGCTGGTTGAAATAAACCAAACAATAAGGGCCGGTTTATTGAAGGGAGACTTGAAGCCAATTCCCTGAACTTTATCTTCTGCTTAGTTTGAAGGTTTTTTTTTAAAAGCCAATAAACTTCCACAGTCTGCCAATAATTAGAAGTACAAACTGGGGAAGAAGGGAACCACGTGCATTACTTGGTCACTGGAATACAATATTGCAATATAAATATAACTAACAATAGTCAATCAATTAATCAATCATCATTGGAATCATGAGACAAATCTTGTCTTATCCCTTAACTTCTGGGTCAAGCGGGCAATTATTTAAAGGATTTAGTGGAAACACACCACTTTAGAAATTGCTCTGATCTACACTTCCTGTGGGGATCTATTTATTTAGGTGGCCCACTTTTGAACTACACTCCTCTGCCGTTCTAGCCCTTTAACTCCATTTCGACATGCAGCCACCCACCCGGGACTCTCTTTGTCTCCTGGTCATGAAAAGTGTCACCTGCTGGTTTCGGTAAATAAATCTTTTAGGCAAAAGGAGCAGACTGAGTTTGCTTTCTGGCAGGGACAAAAAGCAAGAGAGGCAGACAGACAGAATGGTCACAAAAAGACAGAAAAAAGGCAGCTGAAGACAAAAAGAAAAGAGATGGCCATTTTTGTTACTGGTTCAACCCAGCACGGCCTACAGCTTTTCCACCACACAGCCCCTGACACATGACACCCCCCCCAAAGTACACAACACCCATAAAAAAAGATATGTGCCCACTCTTGCTTGAAGCATAAAGTTTAGGGCAACCTGCTGGCTGAAGCAATTTTGTCACTGCTTGGAAAATGTTAATTTAGTGGGCCTATGAACCCTCCAGATACACAACCCCACATACTCAGACTCATTGAAGCTAAGAGGTGAAACAGATATGTCTGAAATGGATTAGATGCTTACAGTATATGCCAAGTGCGATCGGGTGATGGTCACAGAGCTTTTACCGGCGACCGCAATGGCCAATGAGCAGCTAGGATCCAATTTGGGACCATCGGTTTCCCTTGGTGTCACTTCCACTTTCAGCACCACTGTTGCTGTGGTAAGGCCATCGGTTACCGAAATCTCCATCTTGTCCGCAGTCGTAGATGAGCCATCGTGGATATACTGCAGAGCGTTGTGGGTGATTTCCTCATAAGTGAAGGTGTCGCCTTCCCAGAAAGCAAAGTTGAGATCAGGAATCTGGCCCTTGCAACACAACCCAACACAACACAACCCCCATTGGCTAACCTCTAGATGTTATGATAAACTGAGGTTCTAAAGATTAATTTTTGAAGGCTGAAGGGATTCCTCCAACCAAAATTCTAGGGGCTTTATCTAAAAAAAAAAATAAAAATAAAAGTCCTCTTCGGTATTTAGTCGGTTACATCTGAGAAATATAGGCTCTATCTCAAAGATGACAAGTCATCATGAAAATGGAGGAAATGGCTGGGAGGGGTTAAGCTCTGCAGGATCTCCAAGGCATTGCTGACAGGGACCCTGTGTGAAGCATAGTGAGCAGCGAAACTATCAGACCCCTAATGCCTTGCATGTCCCACAGACTTTAGCCCATGCCAATCATCATGTCTGAGATGGAGCCTTTATTCCTCAGATGAAAGTGATAAAAAAATACCTGAGACCCCTTTTGATTTTTTTGACTAAAACTCAGAGAATTCTGACTGGGGAAATTCCTGCAGATTCCTGGGGGTTGAAATCCAAAAAATACCTAAGTTTCACATATGGTTGCCAAGCTGCAGCACCTGAATGTAGTGTGAAAACACCGGCTTTCTTTAGGGCTAACATAAAATTACATAAAAAATAGTCCAAACATGCCCTATAATGCAACAAAAGCAGTAACACTCTCTGTTAATGGCAAACGACTGAGAAAGCTCTCCCTTCCGTTAATTGCATTAAGTACAGTTGCGTTCTGAGTATGTTCGCTTGAAGCAAACTTGGAAATAATGCTTTTAGTTAAAAGGGAAGATGGACAGCTTCCCTCTGGCTTATGTCAGAGCAGCTTGAGAAATAAGAAATAACTGGAAATAACCGGCTCATTTTTCAAGCCAGTACATCAGAGATTCCCAATCTCCACTCCATCACTTTTAAACTCAGCCGCATCCGTGGTGGTTTGGTCCAGCCATGGAGAAAGGAAACCAGGGAGGTCTCTGTTCTCCATACATGGTACCCCCGGGATGGGAAGAAATGCATTAGGTTTGCATTTTAATCGCTCGGCCTGCATGAATAGACATGGGCTTTTCAGGTTTCTTAGACCACAAGTCCCATAATTCTCCATTCAGGGAGTTCCATCTGACTAAATGTGGAGCAGCTTCCTTTCTGAATGGGAAGCTAGGGTGGAGCTAGAACTATACCAAGCTACAAGGCCTTCTGAGGTAGGCCCTTCCTTCAGGTCGGCCACATTTAAGCGTCTATAGGTATGGGTCTGCCAGGTGGAACTCCCAGACTGGAGGATTATGGAAAGCGTAGTCCAAGAAATCCAAAAATCCCATGCCCACGTGTGGATACGCACACTGTTAACCGCATTATTCTTAAATTTCCACACATCTCTAAATGTTGCGACAGCACATTATACACACTGGTTGATAATATACATTGCCTGGTAGTGTATGAGGATGGAGAGGTTTGGATACCCTTGGGAAATGCTACTTCAGTTGGACTTGGGAGAACTACATGCCCCATGGGCTGCTAAGACCTTTTCCCTACTTCTTACGCACTTGACAAAAACATGATGTTTTTGGGAGAAAAAAGGTTTCAGAGATAATCTCCACACGGGAAAATAACCGTATGCCTCTAAAAGTTCCTGAGAACTGTCACAAAGCCGGCTAGAGCTTCTGCAATTTGCAGTCCGGCCACACCTGGTGTGCATTTTTTCCACCCCCTTGGGGTGTGAAAAAAAAAGAGTAGCACACCTATTAATAGCCGAAGACTTTGGTTTAGCCTACCTTCCCTCAGGGGGTGAGAAAATCCAGAGTCGTGTTTGAGGAGAGCGCCGTGCTCAGGCGGTTCCACCACCTCAAAGAAAATATCTTCAGGGGTTCTGTCCACGTTGCTGATCGTCAGACGTATGCCTAAACCATCCAGGTGTGGAAATGAAAATGATGTTGAATTTATCTGCATTCTAGCCTCACAGAAGACACCATGGTTAATAAGCAGGTTACAAAAAGAACAGAGGGCATGTTGGAATTTCAAAGCACCAACTTAAAACAGGAAAGATGGAAAGAAATTCATTGGATTTGCATTTTAATTCTCAGTTCCTGAGTTAACATGTGCACTGCTATGGTCTTCATGCATCTCCAAATGTTGTGACGCCATCCGCCAGTTGAAAAATGTGTACAAAACACATGCCTTGTGGCAGTTTGCATATAAAAACGCCAACATTCCAGACAAATCACAGAAAAATGCATATGTAATGGAAGCCCGTTTGCAAAACATGCAACGTTGTGGTAAGTCCCGTGTAAAAATCTGCCCGAGTTCTCACATATATAGACATGTGAGCTATAATATTTACAAGCACTTTCAAATACAGACATATTTTTAAAAGATATATTTGCAGAGATAAGATGGAATTCATGTGTGAGAAACAATATTTTATAACTCATCGTCAAAATGTGTGACTATATTCACACAGAATTATTCTAAAGTGACATTTAAATGCCAAAGTCTCTCTCTCACACACGCGCATAGCGTCTATATACATATATTAGTGTTGACTGGATGGAGATCCACAGAATCAGAGATGAGTAGAGTTGAATGGGTTCCTCAGTGGTCATCCATTCCAGCCCCTTTGCCAAATCCCTAACGACGGCATCTCTGACAGACAGCGATCTAACCTCCGATTGAAACCCGGCCAGAAAGGAGAGTCTACCATCTCCCAAGGCAGTCTGTCCCATTGCTGAACAGTGTGTAGGACACACACATTTCAAGAAGTGGCCATTGTGCAAGTCCACCGCAACGGCAGACCACCAGCAGAAGAGAATTCTGCACATTGTTTAGTTGATGGGCATACTCTCCGGGCAGTGTTGGAGAACACTCAGATGTCACGCTCTGATCAATGAATGTGCAGAGTGTGCAAATGAAGCACATGTACTGGTGAACCAAGCAATCTATGAACTATGATGTTATTCCATTATTTTAGGCACATTCTCCAGCACAAATATACTATCAGTAGAAGGACCTGCTTTTACACCCGGTCTTAAGTATACTCTGAAAGGTGAAAAAGTTATGTTATTTTTTTGGTTTTGGTTTGGAAGACAACTACAGGGAGTCATCTGGGTGCTGTATTATAATTTTGGAAGCATTACCAGTCTCTTAACATATAGGAGCTGGCAGGTGCTGAAAACAGCAGATAATAGCAAATGCTATACATAGCATGGTTTCTTGCTCCCTCTAGTGGCCGGTTCTAGCAGCGATATTATGGAAATACATGGTTCTGGGATTTTTCTTTTAATATTTTTAATATTCCCAGACTGTGGATAAGTGAAACAATGGATACTGACTCCGAGGATATGGGGGTCCTACTGTACTCTCTACCTAGACAACCCTAAAAAGGTTTGCAATAAGTCAGAATTAACTTGATGGCACATTATTATTAATAATATATTGGATAATAACACTGACCAACTTCACATGATTCTTGCATGTATAGACCAATGGCTGTGCAATGCTCTGAGCCTTTGATATTACTGTAGAAACAAATGGGGTGTTAACCAGGTTCTTCTGCTCTAGTCTGTTATGTCAAATGTTGCCTTTGAGAATGCTACTGAGTAATTAACCAGAGCTCATACACTCAAGAGAGCAAGCATATTCGGAGTTCAATGGGCCCGTTCTTCAAATGTGTTTAATTGGCCTCATTCAGCTTGCATGGCTTCCCATTAGCACACAACCAAGTAGAGCAGACACTAGCAATGTACAATGTACTAGATGCTAGTACTGGGCTGTATCCACCATATGAGCAAAACCGTCATAGATCTTTCAGCTATTAAACATGTCAGAGCTCTGCTACCTAGCCCACTTGGCCGGCTAGCTGGGTAGTCAGCTAATATGCCTTGTGGCAGTTTGCATATAAAAACGCCAACATTCCAGACAAATCACAGAAAAATGCATATGTAATGGAAGCCCGTTTGCAAAACATGCAACGTTGTGGTAAGTCCCGTGTAAAAATCTGCCCGAGTTCTCACATATATAGACATGTGAGCTATAATATTTACAAGCACTTTCAAATACAGACATATTTTTAAAAGATATATTTGCAGAGATAAGATGGAATTCATGTGTGAGAAACAATATTTTATAACTCATCGTCAAAATGTGGAGGCCCAAGGTTGGGGACCACAGAGCTAGTCATGCCAGTTCTGCCTCTGAACCTGGGTCACTGCTGAGTGTTTGAAAAGAAAGAAAAGCAGAGAGCCAGTTGCAAGAGAGAAATGAAGAGAAGCAGCAGGAGATGCAGAAGGTTTATCTTTTCCTACCCACCACGTTTAGCCTTTTGTTTCTGTGTGACTATATTCACACAGAATTATTCTAAAGTGACATTTAAATGCCAAAGTCTCTCTCTCACACACGCGCATAGCGTCTATATACATATATTAGTGTTGACTGGATGGAGATCCACAGAATCAGAGATGAGTAGAGTTGAATGGGTTCCTCAGTGGTCATCCATTCCAGCCCCTTTGCCAAATCCCTAACGACGGCATCTCTGACAGACAGCGATCTAACCTCCGATTGAAAGCCAGCCAGAAAGGAGAGTCTACCATCTCCCAAGGCAGTCTGTCCCATTGCTGAACAGTGTGTAGGACACACACATTTCAAGAAGTGGCCGTTGTGCAAGTTCACTGCAACAGCAGACCACGAGCAGAAGAGCATTCTGCACATTGTTTAGTTGATGGGCATACTCTCCGGGCAGTGTTGGAGAACACTCAGATGTCACGCTCTGATCAATGAATGTGCAGAGTGTGCAAATGAAGCACATGTACTGGTGAACCAAGCAATCTATGAACTATCATGTTATTCCATTATTTTAGGCGCATTCTCCAGCACAAATATACAGTCAGTAGAGGGACCAGCTTTTACTCTCAGTCTTAAGTTTACACCTCTGAGAGGTGGAAAAGTTATGTGATTTTTTGTTGTTGTTTTGATTGGGAAGACAACTACAGGGAGTCATCTGGGTGCTGTATTACAATTTTGGAAGCATTGCCAGCCTCTTAACATATAGGAGCTGGCAGCTGCTGAAAACTGCAAAGAATAGCAAATGCTATACATAGCATGGTTTCCTGCTCCCTCTAGTGGCCATTTCTGGTAGCGATATTATGGAAATACACGTTTCTGGGATTTTTCTTGTAATATTTTTAATAATTCCAGACTGTGGGTAAGTGAAACAATGGATATTGACCCAGAGGATATGGGGGTCCTACTGTAGCCTCTATCTAGAAAACCCGTAAAAGGGATGCAATAAGTCGGAATTAACTTGACAGTGCATTATTATTATTAATATATTGGATAATAACACGGACCAACTTCACATGGTTCTTGCAAGGATTAGCACAGACCAATGGCTGTGCAATCCTCTGAAGCTTTGATAGCACTGTAGAAACAAATGGGGTGTTAACCAGGTTCTTCTGCTCTAGTCTGTTATGTCAAATGTTGCCTTTGAGAATGCTACTGCCTGGCGTCCTCTGGTCCATGGGATCATCAAGAGTTGGACATAACTTAGCGACTAAACAGCAACAATAACCCACCACTTATCTTCCCTTCGCTCTACAAAACTTTGCACAGCTTGCTAGAGGCCAATGGCAAACCAAATTTCTACACCCACATCTTTGTTGAACCATTTAGTTCCTTCAGCTTGCATGGCTTCCCATTAGCACACAGCCAAGTAGAGCAGACGCTAGCAATGTACAATGTACTAGAAGCATCAACTATCCAGTTTCTCTGGTTCCCTCTAAGCCAGCGATTCTCAACCTTGGGTAACCTAGGTGTTCTTGGACTGCAACTCTCAGAAACCCCAGCCAGCACAGCTGGTAATGAAGGCTTCTCTGACTACAGCCCAAGATCATCTGAGTTATCCAAGGTTGGGAGCCACTGTTCTAAGCCATTTTATGGACAGATCCAAAATGAGCTGTCATGGGTGCGAATTATGGGGACACTGTGGACCACAGCCCAGGTCTGCTGCCTTTGTATTTGTTTATACTTACCGATAGTGGCTCTGCCTCCTTGGCTGACCTCAAGGATGGGAGCAGTGAACTGGAATAAGGGGGGTTGCTCACCAGAGGAGAGCAAGTGAATGGTGAACACCATCTCCGGATTGGTGCGTTCTCCATCTGACACTAAAATAAAAAAAATTAAGAGAACACGTCACCGGTAGGAGCCAACCTTTTGTTAAAAAGTTCCTTCCTTCCTCTTATTTGCATGTGAAATAAATGCCTAACTGCAATCAAAGGTTTTGAGTCAAAACTGCCTAAATGAGTTCAGTTATCTGAAAGTTACTATGGACCTACAGGCCTTGAGCTTGGGCCCCCCAAATGCTACATCCAGGAGGACGAAGAACAGGACAGAGGCTTTAGTTAGGAGCAAAATGGGGGGTGGGGTGCAACACAGTTGCCAATTTCTACTTTTCTTTAGGTCAGGGCAGGTAAGCAAAGTATGGCTCACCATACAATGCTGGACAGCTCCCAGCACTGGCTATGGTTAATGGAAAGTCTATTCCAATGTTGCCCAGCTCTCGTTTAGGTCAATGACCAAGAGCCAAATTCCATTTTAAAGATGTCCGTAATAGCTGTAGTGCAACGGTGGGTAGAGCCAAAGGCAGAAGGAGGGAAGTAAAAATAGCAGAAGAACCCCCTGCTTTAGATGCCACTTGAGTTCAGAGGAGGGGAACCGTGATTTAGCATAAGGGGAAAAGTAATGGCAGGCTTGCATGTTGGGGCTCCATATCAGCAGGAGGTGGGGCAGTGGTCCACCTACGGGTAACCTGCACCAAAAGTGGGTGGAGCCACTGTATGCTCCTCTTTCTATACACTGGCATAGCCACTCAGGTAAATTCATGTGTCATAGGACCCTGTATCCTACTTGTGCTCTGAAAATATTAAAAATAATAAAAGAAAAAACATAGAAGTATTTTCATGATGTACTGACCAAAACTAGCCAGTAGAGAAAGCCAGAGACCATGCTATGTCATTAAAAATAATAAAAGAAAAAACATAGAAAGAAGTATTTTCACGATGTACTGACCAAAACTAGCCAGTACAGAAAGCCAGAGACCATGTTATGTCTCTGGCTCTCTCTATTGGTAATACATGTGAAAATATTTTTTCTGGGTTTTTTTTCCTTTTACCATGCTATGTATAGCATTTGCAATTATCCACATTTTTCAGCATCCGCGGGGGTGTGTGGAACCAATCCCTTGCAGATACGGAGGTCCTACTGTACATGCGTGTTCTCTTATCCAACCATACACATATGTACCACACCATTCATATAGCTGCCCACAGAGAGACAGACATGCGCACATACATCTGAGGGACAGATGAAAGGAAGGAGTTGCTGGGGAAAGGCAACAGGGAGGGAAAGATTCTCCCTTGAACCCACGAACCGCCACTCCTTTCACACACAAGCTTGCACACAGAGGCATATTTTGCAACTGTTTAGCGATGACACACGTTTCCATGATTTGTCCCCATGCCTCCCATTCTGTCCTCAAAATATTAGTCAATAGCCTCTCGTGGAGCTCTGCCTGGTGGAGCAGGAATAATTTAGCAGATTGCCACTAATTAAAGAGTCTCTGCTTTGGTTTTAGGACGGATGCAAGTTCATCTCATTGCACATGAGATACGTGCACCTGAAACTGAACAAGGAACAATCTACTACTTCCAGTGAAATCACTCCAGCTACGCCTGCAGAGATCCACAAGAGGATACTGGCACAACACAACCAAGTACAGCCACACAATTCAGACAGTGAGCAAGAAGGATCTGAGTACCTGTAAAATGAAAGCTGACTGATTCAGGGAGACCTAGAAGAAACAAAAACACAATCAGAGAAAATATCTATTCATCTACATTTTTCCCAGCAAAATATTCACGGACATAAGCCAGTGAGATGATCCCAAATTCTGAATCCTGGGAGTGGGGCTACCTAGAAGAAACAAAAACACAATCAGAGAAAATATCTATTCATCTACATTTTTCCCAGCAAAATATTCACGGACATAAGCCAGTGAGATGATCCCAAATTTTGAAACCTGGGAGTGGGGCTTGCTGCTCATAATTTGGAAATATTGCTTGTCACAGAAATAAATAAATAAATAAATAATTTGGAAATATTGCTTGTTTACAAGTGAATATACCTCTTAATTTCAGCTTGTCACAGAAAAAAATCCTTCACTCTGAGATGCTTGGACCCCTTGCAACATCAACAAGGGGTTAGGGTGAGAGCATGCTCATCAATCTTCATTTGCACCTAAAGTCTTCGCTATAAAAAATTCCCACTGCTGAGATCTGGGGGAAATTTTCATTAATGAGAGCTTCCAGGCCCAGAGTTTAAATCAGAGCCCATTCATAACAGTTCATCAAATAGTTTGAAAGATGTTAAAATATTTTATCTTGAAAGAACCCATTCAGCATCCAAAACCAGGAAGTTTCTGTTCCTCCTTGAAGTTTGAGTTAGGGCTTATCCAGACAGGCTCAATTAGAGCAGTCTAAATAGGTTTGCTAGAGGTCACAGAGAGGTCTGGTATGCTGTTTGGTACAATAATCATATCCAAATGTCATATGCACTTTGAGTGATCCTATTTGGTTTGGCTTCTTCCGCTGTCAATTTGCCATATTGTGGCTTAAGAAGAAAGCCACTTCAGGATACTGGGAAGTTAAACATTTCCTCTGCTTCTCGGTAGAGGGGCAGAAGAAGTGAAAAAAAAAAACCAATTAGACTCTATTAAGGCAGCACAGGTGCACCATCAGGATACTGGGAAATTAAACATTTCCTCCGCTTCTCGGTAGAGGGGCAGAAGAAGTGGAAAAAAAAAGCAATTAGACTCTATTAGGGCAGCGCAGGTGCACCGTATCACTTATAAATTTCTTTTGAAAAATAGAAAACTTCCTCCCAGAAGACAGGAGGGGGCAATGAGGGGCCTCCCCCACTCTTTGACTTGTCTTGATGGTCTCGTTAAGAAATTGCCTGCAGCTGAATCCTGCGTGAAACAATCCTGACAACATAAAAGTAGACACCCTTGCCAGGAGCCCATCACTGATTCCATCGTATGATCATCAGAAAAAGGAGTGAAGCAATCCACCTCTGGAGTGGAGCAAACAGCGGGATAAATGCCCATTTGAATGCACCCTGATATAACTTACCAAGCGCTGAGATGCAATATATTGTTGTGAACAATGAAAGCTACAACACATTACTTTGGGGAGTAAAAGGTGCACAATAACATCTTCCCATCCCTTCTTAATTTAAATTAATAGATTTTGTTGCTATTGTGGCCATTTGGGGCATTTCTTCTCTTGTTTCAAAAAATTAATTTTAATTAAAAAAATAATGGAAAACAGTGTATTAGTAATGCATTATTGGTGGCACAATGAGCAACGGTAACACTTTAGGGATTTCCACTGCTGCTGTTGTTTTTAAATAACATTCCAAACATTGAATTTATTCAGGTTTCAGTAAATCTGGATAACAAGTTATTTAAAACTGAAACCTTTTAGTACCGGACTTTAGAACTGCAGAGCCCTTCAAGTTTCATCACAAGACACAGAGGTTCATTTAACCTTCTTAAAATTCATCCTGGAATCTGGATGGGCCCCCATGAATGAATGGAATGCACTGTTGTTTAAAAGTGGCATTTATCTTTTCTAAGAGGCAGGTTAAAATATGCACATTTTTCAAAAAGGGGAACCAGCTCTTTAAAAGTGTTGAACACTTAATGTACCCATTCATGGCTTGTTTAACTGTGGCAATCAAATGTCAGTCCAAAGAAATTTTTAAGAAATCAAGAGTGTTCTGGGAAAATGCTTAGTTGGCAACCTCTCTCCCCACAAATTCCATTCATTTTAAAGGGTCTTCTGGGAACTTCCTGGTGAATTTTGCCCAACGTATATTGTGGCAATGTGCTTAAGCACAGAACATCTCATTTCTCCTCTTTGCAAACTTCACAGTGAAAGCCAGTTTCTCATTTCATCGGTCTACTGGGAGAATCAGCTTGTTGGTTTGTTTATTTTGTACTTTAAAATACAGCAGCGGTTGGCATTGTAAGAGACCCAAGAAAGCAATGCTTTAACATTCTTTGATGGCATGCGAGATAATTTCCATGGATGGCAATTTTTCTTAATGTCCTGGTACAATCCAGTGATTTAATAATACAATTGCTTTTGCATTGTATTATCTTGGAGTGCACAGTCCAGCAAATTTGAGACTGTGTATGTCATCTGTATGGTTGCATGTCATAGGGAGCAAAGTTACAGTGGTGCCTCGACTTACGAACGTCTTGACTTGCGACCAATTCGAGTTACAACCAGCTCCAGTCGCAAAATTTTGCTTTGACTTGCGACCGGCGCTTTGAGATACAACCAAAAAAAGGCTTCCTCCCTCCTTTCCTGCCCTTTTGCTAACCTTAGAGGTCATCTTAGGTTAAAAAGGTCTCCCCCTAGTGGACGGATTAACTGCTTTTGCATTAGTACCTATGGGAATGAATGCTTTGAGATACAACCAGCGCCTTGAGATACAACCAAAAAATGGCTGGAACGGATTAATCACATTTCAATGTATTCCTATGGGATACAAGTTGGTTGAGTTACGACCATCATCCCAGAATGAATTAAGTTCGCAACTCAAGGCACCACTGTATTACAGGTTGATTACATTGCTGATGCAAAGCTGTTCATTGGTACCATCAGTGCTGTATGTAACAAATACAATTGCTTTTGCATTGTATTACCTTGGAGTGCACAGTCTAGCAAATTTGATGGTTGCATGTCATAGGGAGCAAAGTTACAGTGGTGCCTCGACTTACGAACGTCTTGACTTGCGACCAATTCGAGTTTCAACCAGCTCCGGTCACAAAAGTTTGCTTTGACTTGCGACCGGCGCTTTGAGATACAACCAAAAAAAGGCTTCCTCCCTCCTTTCCTGCCCTTTTGCTAACCTTAGAGGTAATCTTAGGTTAAAAAAGTCTCCCCCTAGTGGACGGATTAACTGCTTTTGCATTAGTACCTATGGGAATGAATGCTTTGAGATACAACCAGCGCCTTGAGATACAACCAAAAAACGGCTGGAACGGATTAATCACGTTTCAATGTATTCCTATGGGATACAAGTTGGTTGAGTTACGACCATCATCCCAGAATGAATTAAGTTCGCAACTCAAGGCACCACTGTATTACAGGTTGATTACATTGCTGATGCAAAGCTGTTCATTGAATCATAGAAAAGTGAAACTGGAAGGGACTTACAAGGCCATCAAGTCCAACCCCCTGCTCAACACAGGAATACAATCAAAGCATATCTGCCAGGTGATTATCTAAGTTTTTCTTGAATGCCTCCAGTGTTAGGGCACTCACCAACTCCTGAGGTAACTGGTTCCACTGTTGTACTGCTCTAACAGTTAGGAAGTTTTTTTTTCCTGATATTCAACTGAAATCTGGCTTTTTGTAACTTGAGCTCATTGTTCCATGTCCTGCACTCTGGGTTTGACGGAGAACAGATCCTACCCCTCCTCTGTATGACAGCCTTTCAAATATTTGAAAAGTTTGTTGCCAAAGTGGAAGGGATACCTGTGGCTGTGTTTAAACCACTCTTATTTATCCAACTCAGAAAGTTACTCTTTAAAAATGATTTGTCATAGAACCTGTTACAAAGTCCTAAAGTAACATGCTACCATAAACAGTGCAAAAAGTACGGCATTGTCCTTATCTAGCTTTTTAAAAAGTTCCTCTTTTATTTTCGCAGAAAAGTCAATTTTAAAAAAACTTAGAAATCCTCTCAACCTCCTGCAAAGAGTCCTAACTCAAAAGAGCAAGAGTATGTAATGAATAAATGTTACTCATTAAATAAAACAAAAACAAGCAAACAAAAACCGGTGAGTTTTAAAGAACCTTTTGCAACAGAAATGTTGACTGGCTCAAAGCCATCAGCTGAGTTTCACGGCTCAGTGGGAAATAAAATCTTGATCTCTCAAGTCCTAGGCCAATATTCAAACTGCTACATCAGCCTTTCTTTATCAGTCAGCAGATAGAGCGACAGAGATGCAAGCTGTACTGCTGAAAAAAAGAGTAAGGATCTGCCCAGCACCTACCAAAGGCAGCTATTCAACTGGACCACTTTCTTACCTGCAAAGGAGAATTCCATCATCTCCCTCATATGTGGAGCCGCGGCAGGCGGACGATACACAATTTTGCCACTGTTGATGTCTGCCTGGGTGAAATATTTCACCGGGAAGAGTGGCTTATCCTTGTGCTCAACAACACCTACAACGGAATGAGAACCTTGTGACTATACCTTGAGATAAAAGGAAGCCATGTGGTCAATGCGAAACACCAATGCAAGAGAAGCCGACAGATACCTTCATAGACAAAGAGAAAAGAGTCATCAGATAATCTACAAGCTTTCATGGATCAAAGCCATCCACGTTGTCAGGCATGCAAAGAACTTAAAAATACAAAAAATTGTGGCAAGACGAATTCTGCCAGGATTGTCTGTATTGCCCCCATTGTCCCTGGCCAAGCAGAGATACGTCTGTTTCAAAGAAAGGACAAACGGGGAGGCATTTCTGTAGGCATGGTGTGTGCCTTTTTGTCTGAAGGACTAGGGTGTGATATCCAATCCCCAGCTGCCTCAGCTGTACCTTTAAAACAACAGTCCTAATGCAGCCACCATCTTTCCTGACTTATCTTACATCTAAAGATAGATATGCCTGGTTAAATCTAACCTGCCAAGAACTTTTGGAGTTTTAAGTTCTTCAGACTGGTACACCCTTGAGGACGTTGATGTTCCAGATCCATGAAGGAACGCAGATTGTATGATGATTTTTTTAGTGTTTTATAAAGGTATCACCTACACTTCTATGACCACTCATGTTAACTTCCAACAAAGTTTTAACCAATATATTTTTAATAAAGTTGCCCATCCTATTTCTCCCAAAACAACACATGTAGCTCAGGTCACCAGACTGCATCTCAAGGTACGGTCCCTCAATTGTCCATTTTAAAAAAACTGAGTCAGGAACTTTTTGGTCTCTGTATTGACATCAGTGTGTGAGCTTTCAAACTTTACTTTTTTGGATTACAATTCACAGGATCCCTAACCACCAGCTTGTGGCGGCTAGACGATTAAAGGAGATGTAGTCCAAAAAAGGTAACATTTCCAAGATGTGACAATGATGAATGGAGCTGTTACTGACAGCTATATTTTCGAGTTTGACGATACAAGTCATGAGAATATGTAATCTCACTTCAAATGCACAATATGAACATTATTCTTCTAGAATATTCCCCTACCCCAATTGTAATCTTAGTCAAGGAAATATTCTAGTTCCCCCCTCCCCTCCATTCTGGCTCTGACAGACAGGTACTTTGCGGAAAATGACAGTGGGAATCTTATTATTGTTTGTGTAAACTCAGTACCATGTCACAGCTAATTGCAGTTAACTGATGAGGTGCCAGGGCAGATCTTGACTATGCAGTCAAGCACATGACCAGGAACACAACCAAAACATATCTTGGTCTCATGTCAATTAGTCACAATTAGCTTATGCAGGATTCTTTCTGACATTTCCCAAGCCAGTATGCACCAAGAGTCCTTTGTAGTCATGTGACACTTGCTGGAAAGCAAAAGTTAATTCAAATGGAACTTGGTTAATCTGAGGTATTTCCCATCTTGCTTAATCTGAACCAATCTGACCTGATCCCAGGGAAACACCCTGAAGTCATGTGCTTCAAAAGAAGAGAGAAGGATCCTTCTTATGCTGGGCTCACCCAAAGAGAATTGGGTGCATTAATTGGGCCTGAACTGGTTTAGGACAAAGACTTCCAGTCTAAATCTGATTCTTTTGCCAGAATCTCCCCACGGGATATAGACCCTTGTTGATCTTGATCAATAAGAGCAAAGGATTTAGAGAGTATTCTTCACATCTTTAACCATGTGTCTGGAACCCATAATAACATCCTATTACCACACAATTTGGCTATAGATGGCTCTAGTATGTCATGATACTCATTGTCCTCCAGCAAACTGATTTGTTAACCAACGTCCAGAGTTCAACTATAAACAGATTAACAGAGAAGAATCTTCTGCTTGACATCATCTTGCCTTGATTTGGAGTCAAGGGCACAGTCACATTGTACACAATTTCTTCCTCTGGGCTCTCCGAGTTGATAAAAGAGAGATGATGTGGCTCTATTGGAGTCACGCGGTCATCTAAAGCCTGAAAGAAACGGATGATATGGTGGGTACAGTAACTGAGATACTAATCCTGAACCATCATGTAACGATTTGCTGTCTTGCTATTGCTCTTAAATGGGCAGTCTAAGATGGCTGCCTGACTCTGCCATACTAGCACACGGACAGCCTTGCACATGACAGATTTTGGAAGTAGCAGTGATGTTAAAAGAGTACCAAGTGATTCAATGTGTGTGCCCCACATCTATTCAAAAGTACCAACAAAGGTTGGGGCACAGTATTGAGATTCAGTGGTACAGCCTCTGGGAATACCAAAATGTGCTACAGTACATCTTGAAAAAAGGAGGAGATACAAATACAGGAAATATATACGGATTGTTATAAATCTGATTTTCACTTCCTTCCATGAGAATTTTAAAAAACAACACCATCACTTGCGTTGAGGGTGTTGTGGGGTATTTTCAAAGGTTACCAGTTCGATTAGGATTGTGATAGGATTATGAATCTTGTGGTTTCTGAACCAGATGAAAATTCTACTGCCTCCCTCACTCCATCATAAGCAGTCAATTTACTAACAAGTCACTTCAGTTTCTTGGCATCAAGATTTGCCAAAAAAACAAACAAAGAGCAAGACACTCTTTTTTTGTATCTTTTTTTTCTGCAACGTACCTACCGGAATCCCCCAGCCAGCAACCCAATTTCTTTTGTGAATAAAGGAATGTATGAAACAGACCTTCTCCACTCCACTATCTCTAGAAAGCATAAACTATTACATCCAATCACCAGCTAGAATTAGAACTTTCGAACCAATGGGACATAATCGTTGACTAAAAAGTCTCATTTAATAACTCTAATTGAGCTGGGGCTCAGAACTGCAATTCTTGCTGGCTAGATAGGTCCGGGAATTAGGTCTCTGGCTACAGAACTGGAGGTTGGGAGTTCGATCCCCCACTGTGTGGCCTTGGGCGAGCTGCATAGTCCCAAGATGGTGCCAGAAGAAGGAAATGGTAAATCACTTCTGAGTATTCTCTACCTGGGAACCCTGGGGAGGGTCACCATAACTCAGAATTGATTTTTTGACGGCACATGGATATTAATATTAATAACATATTTAGTCCTAAATATTCCATCACTGAAGCGTAATACATTCTGCGTCAACTGCAATGGACATTTCCTCCAGAAATCTATCCAACCCCCCTTCAAAGGTCTCAGAATTCAGCCCCGCTGCAGCCTCTGGGTTTGTTTTCCCTCCCTGCCTGTTGAAACAAGGGAGCTTCAGTGGTTGCTGGATCCTCTCCCATTTGGGCAGAACATTGGCAGGCGGTGCCGAAAAAAAGCCTTTCGAAATGTTCACTGCCTCCTTTCCAGGCCAGGAAGGGGAGAAGCGAGCTCCAGCTGGCCGCAGGCCCCCTTGCAAGGCTCCCCCCAAATGTTCGGTCCCATAAATCAAGGGCCTGCCGGAGTTGAGCCATGATCGGCCACAGCTGCTGGAAGGAGTGGGGTGGGGAGAGGGGAGGGGAAAAGGAACACGCAGTCCCAAACCATGTTTCTTAAGAGAACACACGGCTTGTAAACAAGCACCGTCTTTGCCAGTGATAGGAAGCCTTCCCCGTGGGCGCTCCTGCTTCTCCTTCGCACACCTTTGAGGAGTCTATCAGGGCAAAACAAAAGGAAAATTTTAAAAAGAGAGAAAAGAAGCAGAAGCATTATGGCACCTTAAAGAGTAACAATTGTATTTTGATGTGCGTTTTCATGGGCCTCCTTAGCCCACTTCATAAGACCTACCAGGTGGAAAACAGGAATTAACACCTTAAAACATTCACGCTGGACTCTTGAGAGTCAGGGGTGTACGGTTGCATTTCGCACGTGCAGTAATTTCTGGAAACATTCCAGCAAGAGACATAGAACCAGACAAAAGCAGAGAGAGAGAGAGAGAGAGAGAGAAGAACTTAAAAGATCAACTGTGGCTTTACAGAACTGTAAACCAAAGAGAAGTCATCATAAATTATGATGTGTGTAATGTGCAGCCAGACACCCCTATCTATCAAGAGACCAGCGTGAATGTTTTAGGATGTTCATCCTGTTTTCCACCTCATGCATCTGACAAAGTGGTCTAAGAAGGTCCACGAAAGCTCACATTAAAATGTATTAGTTTTTAAGGTAGTACAACGCTTTTGTCTTTTTGAAGTTTTCTTTTGTTTTTTTGCCTGATACATTTGAAAGACAGAGAACTTCTGAGAAAGTTGAGAATCAACATGACTGGTTTTTTGTTGCGCTTTCTGTTCCCAGCCAGCCTACAGGCCCCATCGAGGGTGGAACCTAACAACTGATTGAGTCCAGGTTGAGACTCAACATTCTATCTTAAAATACCATCCAGACCGTACGGCGACAAGAAGTATTTCCCTTCCCCAGCTTCTTTCTGTAACATCATGCCTGATGAGGATTATCCAAAGGTTTTGAAAGCTTGCACATACTTGTTATGCCTTTTTGGATAGCCTAACCAAGGTATTATCACAATATGAATTTTGGAACATTTCCATATAGAGTAAATCATTGAGACTCCTCAAATTTCCCGGAACCTGCTTCCTTTCACTGATCAAAACCAGATTATCTCAATGCAGTAGATCAGTTTTGACCTTAGATTCAAAGTCAAGGCTAAGGTGATTGTCAGATCTAAGTCCCACTGCATTTAGGAGCGACCACTCACTGTGCGATTGTATTAATTAGAGGTCAAACGAGAGAGAGCGATTTCTAGTTATCATTTCTATATATTATATTAAATATAATTATATTATGATTTCTTTGCTCCTTGTTCATTGTTTCTTCATTACACTATTCTGATTACTTCTGGTTTAAAATGCGCAATAAGGATCGACAGGGATGTATGACCTGATTATCTCATAATGCTGGATTAAATTAAATATATAATAATTATGATTTCTTTGCTCCTTGTTCATTGTTTCTTCATCACACTATTCTGATTACTTCTGGTTTAAAATGCACAATAAGGATCGACAGGGATGCATGACCTGATTATCTCATTTTATAATGCTGGAATTGCTATTTTTAGATATAGTTTAATACCACTTGTGGACTGGCGAATAGCAAAAATAACTGTTTCCATTAAATGTGTGCACCCATATACAACTCCACTCTAGAACTGTGATAAAGTGTATTATTGGACCCAATATTGAGTGTTGGTGCAGATATCTTATAATTCGGATTATTATATTTGTTTTACCAACATTGCTGCCAACATTACCCTTCCTCCTAAGTAGGCCACTATTAAAATTTGATTAAGGATCCCTTCTGTAATCCCATTTAATGAATAGAGAGATTAACTGCGCTGCAGCTTTCGGGCACAGCACATCATCTGCTGCATACGAAAGGCATCAGGTTTTATATCCTTGTAATTGCCATTTTAAAAAAAAAAGCGAAAACTTTTACTCCAAATCCCAAACATCCAGATCCATGAACTCTATGAAATTTGGTAGTGCTAAGCTAGAAGGCTCATTGGCTGGACTTTTCATTAATCTCAAATTATCTTTTCCAAATCCCAAACATCCAGATCCATGAACTCTACGAGATTTGGTAGTGCTAGGCTAGAAGGCTCATTGGCTGGACTTTTCATTAATCTCATCTTTAATTATCTTTAATGATTCATGCTAACAGTTTCCATAAATGTGTGTATGAAAAGCTTTTGAAAAGATGGCATGATTGAGGTGTGTGATTAAACAAGAGGTGACTCATGGGATGGCTTAACCCCCCAAAAATGTTGGAGTGGATGGACCACCAACAACAACTCAGATTCCAACTCTGATCCACTTTTGATTTCTGTGTCATGCTAAGTCAATGGCTTTCCAAGTGTATTCCTAGGCAGCTTATCAAAGAGTTTCAGTGAGAAGCATAATATCACAATGGCAGGCAGAAGCCTTTCTAAAACACATCTCCTTCTGCCAAACACATTTAAAAAAAAAAAGAAAATACTGTGTTTTCTCAGGATGAGGACTGGGTCCTCTGATCTTCACAAATGTTAGCCTGGAACTCCCACAGCCCCCAACAATTAGCTCTACTGGGTACGGTTGGGTACGGTTGAGATGGGACATATGTTATAAAACTACTGTTTCCAACATGCCTACTGGTGGCGTGCTCTTGAAGGATTCTGCGAGTTATAGTCCAAAGGAAATATTTCCTGGCTCTGGACTTTTTAACCTATTTATACCACACTTGCCTTTTCTTGAGTTATAAAGTCCTGACCTTTTAAACCAGGGTTGCGGAACATTTGGCCCTACAGCTATTTGGGTCTACAGCTCCTGTCAGCACCATCAATAGTAAGAAATTATGGGAATTGTAACCCAAAACCTTTAAAGCAGTAGTTCCCAACCTTGGGTGACCCAGGTGCTCTTAGACTGCAACTCCCAGGAAATCTGGCCAGCACAGCTAGTAGTGAAGGCTTCTGGGAGTTGCAGTCCTGGAACCGTCTGGGTTAAACTTTTCCTCTAGATCAACACAACTCCTGTCATTCTACTGAACCCTTGGGAAACAGTGACATACAAATGATCTAGTATAAGGAAAAAAAAGAAATACATAAATTGACAAGGTGGATCCATCTTACCAAAGGTCACTGGAAGCGTGTTCCTCAGAACGCTAACAAAAATAATTCATCGGCATTTTCTGGGCAGGGCCAATCCATTCATCAGGAGCTCAGTAGGTAAGATGATTGTTTTGTGAAAGGATTCAGCTAAATGTGGCTCTTCCCTCCCACAACAGTTTTCCTGGCAATTGTGGACACAGCAACCAAGGTTCCGGAAAAAAACGCAGCTCCCCTCAGTCATGCAAAATGCATACAAGCTAACAGCAACACGGCCATTAAATTAAAGATTAGCTTGTTCAACATCCAGCACTTCAACACTTCCTCATTATCACTTATGTTAATTACCTCAGAAATTACCTTAATTGCCTCCCTTGTGCTACAATAATAGCTTCAATGCGGTAAACCAAAATGTACAAAATATTGCATGCAAA